GCTATTTGGATGTGCCCTAATAGAAGACGATTTTTTTTAAAGAAATTTTTTTCCCAGACAATATTATAGGGGCAGCGACACATGTGTCACAGACAAAATATGGGTGGAGAGAGAAGACGTCATTGGTAAACGTCAATGGGACGTTAATGAACGTCTCGTCAAAATTAGTAACGAAGTCGCTATCTAATGTAGCAGGAACGAATGTTTTAGGCAAGTTTGATGTAAAAATATTTGCTTGCAGTTGCATTTTTAACTACTTCTACAAATGAAAAATCTTCAGATTGTAATATTTTGTTGTTTCTTTACATTTGCCATTGGTGATATTCCTACCTCCCACAAGTCTGATTGCTTTTACTGCCACCTCCCACAGGTCTGATCGTGGTCAGTGCTGCCTTTGGTGTGGCTGCCTCCATGGCTGGAGATAAAGCCAAACCTTTCATCGCCTTCTTTCAGTCCGGAGCTGTGGTGGTATTTAAACTCTTTGACTGGATCAAATGGTACTTCACCTGTTAACATTACCTATCTTTGTGAAGTTTAAGTTTTTAATAACGTCATTAGTTAAGCTCGGGCAAATCGAAAGCTCTACTAGACTTCATAGGGTATTTTACCCAACATTTCCACTACTAGCTCTACCATACAAAATATAGCTTGTTTAAAGTATAAAGCTTATGATCAGCTGAGTTTTACCTTTGTATTTAACACTGAAGTCACTCACCTGTTGTTTAGGACGACACCTGTTGGGGCGGCATGTCTGATCGTCCACGCCATTGCCAGCATTGATGACGTAGGATCGGCCTTCTCCACCATGGGCCTCTTCGTCTTGGTGGTCAGTGGCGGCAACATCCTGCTGCAGGTTCTCCTCTACACCCTCATCTACCTGGTCTTCACGAGGAGAAACCCGTTCACGTTTTTACTCAGTGTCGCCCGCCCGTGGGTCATGGTATTGGGGGCAGGTAGCTCGTGAGTTGGATTTATTTATTGGGGGGGGGGAGCCTTGTTAGCTGGTTTACTGGTTACAATACTTTAAACATTCATAACAATATATTAGAAGACAGAATTAGTTTTGTATCTAAAAACAAGTTAATTAAAAAGTCTAGTGACAATTTAAGGGCAATTTCCTTATGTTATCCATAACAATTTTAAATCGTCATCGCGTTCAATAGAAGCGTCATCACGTTCCATGGCTGCGCCATCACGTTCAGTAGGCGCGCAATGATTTTTAGTCATATAACTATATTGCTATATAGTACTGTAGTGTATTATGTATAATGTAAGTTTTAAAAAAAATTTGTGACCGAACGAAAGGATATTTTTGAAAACTTTCTTCGGCAATATTGTTCTAAATTATGGCAGAGGTATCGATTGGTAAATGTTTCAAGTCGCTAATTGGTCTGGTTGCCGAGATATGGGCCAAAAAACTGCATTTTTTTTTTTTTAGGTTTTTTTGGCTTCTCTGGGAAATCCAGGAAGGAATTCCGGAATTTTTTTGGCCCACTATCATTCTCGTAACTTGCTTAACATAATTGCTTTGGAACTAGTCCTCGATATTGCTTCGTTGAGGAGGAGATACGACTTAAAGCTGCGAACACACATCCATCCATCCATCCATCCAGAAATGACGGGTTAATAAACGCAATTCTCCAGAATGGAAATTGCGCTAAAAATTGATGTTATGTACATAATATTGCTTGCGTTTAGCTGCCGCAACTACATATCTCATTGGATATAATATGATACAATATTATCTGTAAGAATCGCCTGTTTCCTTGACTTGGCATATGAAGTTAGAGTGTGGTCAGTACTAAGACCGGCCGCTTACAATTTCTTTAGAAAACGTAAGCCAAGTACCTGTCAGACCGGGGTGTGCCAAACGTCGTCAGATGAATTTCACCCCTATCCCCTGAAACAATTTTACATTTTCGGTTTGGTGTCACCCCCCCCCCCCCCCCTTACACCTACAGTTACATTATTTAACCAGATACCATTGTGACGTTAATGAATAACATGATGCGTTTAAAATCAACTTTACCAGCTTACTTTTTAAAATTTCCGCTTTAGAGCTATTGCCCTACCGGAATTGATGAAAATCGGCACTGAGAAGTATGAAATAGACATACGACTATCTTCTTTTGTCCTGCCCTTCTGTGTTACGTTAAACAGAGATGGGAGCTGTTTCTTCGTCACCGCCACCTTACTGTTTATGGCTCAGTACGCTATGGTAGACCTGACCACGGGCTTAGTGTTCACAATCTGGTGAGTTACATCCTGACCCAGGGTAGGCCTGACCCCCAGGGTAGGCCTGACCCCAGGGTAGGCCTGACCCCCAGGGTAGACCTGACCACAGGCCTAGTGTTCACAGTCTGATGAGTTACATCCTGACCCAGTGTAGAAATGACCCCCCCCCCCCAGAGTAGACCTGACCCTTGGGTAGACCTTGACAACAGTATAGACCTGACTCCACGGTAGAAATCACTCCTCCATGTGATCACTGTTTGATTATAGCCATAACACCCCTCTCTAACCGCTTTATGATGCACCAGGACAGCGAAGGCAAAATTACAAGGATTCGGTAGACGGAAAATAACAGCCTTGTGTGCTGGGAGTCAGTGAATACCTTTTAGTTACAGGGTCTATGTAGGTGAATCCTGGTCATCAACCCATGGCAAATTTTGTCACTGTTGTCCTACAGTGGGCAAAGGTCGTACCGATAAACACATGTCGTTTACACTACACTTAAAACAAGAAAACAAAACAACTTGTCCATATTATCTCACGTTCGTAAACTTAATTTAATGTTAATTAGCATGAAAATCATTCTTAAAATACTCGATACGTTTAGAATGTATACCATTTTAAAGGTTGATCTAGTGTTCTTGTCAGGAAAAATGCCCACAGAATTCTGTCCCGTTGTTTGTAGTCCATCTGATGCATTACTTAAAGTATTCTGTACTTATGATCCACTAATTTCTGGTCCACAGTATTCTGTCCATTGTGTCGTCTCTGGCTATCCCAAACGTGAACAGCGCCAGTGTGGTTACTGTCATCATCATAGCCGAGTCACTGGGCATCCCAACAACCAGTATAGGACTAGTGCTGGCTGTCGAGTGGATTAAGTACGTATAGTCTTGGTGTTGTGTTACAATGGTTAGTTGAACACAGGACTAGATTGAGACTTTGTAATGCCTAGACTGTGTTAGATATGTGGGTCTAAGTCCATACATTTCAGAGCCACATATTTTCACTTTTAAAAGAAGTTTGGTGGTGCCAGTGGCGTAGCGAGGTCGGGTTTACACCCGGTGCGGCACTAATGGTGTCACCCCCCCAGAGGCGTAGCGACCCTTCCCGGGGACAACCTTTCAATTTTCGCTTTGCACCCCCACCCTCAAACTTTCGATTTGCACCACCCCCTCAAGTTTTTCTCTATACATTTTGCTATTTTTTGCCTTGGTGTCACCCCCCCCTAAATGGTGTCATTCGGTGCGGTCCGCACCACCCCCCCTCGCTACGCCTCTGGGTGGTGCCTTTACGTGAGCTTGTAATCATGATTTTATGTGTCCACCAGCGATAAGATCAGAGCCACCACCAACATGGTCAGCCATTTCCTGGGTGTAGTGGTCACGTGGTCAGTGTGCAAGAAAAACTTCAGAACATTGGACAACAGGGATGTGGACACTGAAAGGACTTCCACTGAAGTTATTTAACTTTAGGTACATGTGCATAAATTCTGTTATACATTTATAATTGCCTTGCAATGTGGAGGGAGTGTGATTGCATTTTATCACTTTGAAGGAGATTATTATTACACTCATAGATAACGTCACGCTTTTTACTATCGTCACAAAAAGTAAAAGCCCACCCTCCCTTTAAAATGACATAACCCTTCCCTCTCCCGCTTTTAAAAGTGGAAACTTTTTTTTGTCATCAGCGAATTCATACAAAAATAACTATTGAAGTTGATAAATGTTTAGTATATAGATATGGTTTTTTGTTTTTGTTTTTTTCTTGTTTTTTTTCAATTTACAAAAATGCTTTTTAAAAACGAAATTAAAAAACCTGATAAAATGTTACTGCTATGATGCAAATGTATTTTGTCCTACTTTTTCGACCCCCCCCCCCTTCCCCTCTTCACACTTTCTAAACCTCCCTCTCCCCTACATCTCTTCACACATTTTCACTAAAGTCCGTGCCCCTACCCTGGTGATGTGACGTAGTTGCCACGAGACAGGTGAGTGGGTAGATGCTGCCTTAATCAGTTGAGACAAACCATAGGACGATACTACAAAAACTAAGATGCCATAAAATGTAAACTTCATTAATACAATCTCCATGAATATCGTATAAATGTCTGCGTGCTATTCATGATAAAATTTAGGACACATAATACAATGTATGTAACATCTTGTACAAAAATCGTCACCCGACAAATCTATAAATGTATTGAACTGTTTACTCGTGAGCTTAAGAATAAAACAGATTTAAATTACTGATGGTGTTTTAGTTTGTTCCGCTTGTCTCATGCCATATATAAATGAATGGTCACACTGGTTTTTTCAGGCACTGTCATTTTAAAAAAGATCACCTCCACACTAGTCATACAGAGGAGCCTTCCTTGTTTCTGTTCGAGGTTTTTATTTAGTTCGCAATGTCTGTTGGTTTGTTATTTATTGTGTGTTGGGCGAATATTTTAACTCACTTTCAACCCTTGTCTAATCCAGTGTTTTCATTCAAACGTTGCATTAAGCCTATAAGAATAACAAACGTATCACTTAGCCTACAAAAACAACAAAACAAATCATTTAGCCTACAAAACAACAAAAGTATCACTTTAACCCTATAAAAACAACAAACGTATTACTTAGCCTACAAAAACAAGAAAAGTATCACTTAACCTACAAAAACAACAAACGTATTACTTAGCCTACAAAAACAACAAACGTATCACTTAACCTACAACACAACAAACGCCGCAGCATGTTGGTATAGAAACGAGAGAAAAGTCTGCCAGTCTGCTATCTCTGTGGCCTAGTTCCCGACTTATCTACTCTAGTCTACTATTTACTTACAACCGTCATGTCCGTGCATATTGTAAGCTGGACCCTGTCAGTGGATGAAAACAAAGCTGTTAATTACATTTGCTATTTAAGATGGACGTTAATTCTTGTCTGAATCTTCAAGCAACAAAAACATCAAGTAAGTTTTTGAGTTCATTGTTTTGTTATACTTAACCTGTTCGTTACAGTTAATAATTTATAATATATTTAGAATGCATACAAATATAAAAAAAAATTAGTGATTGATTTATTTTTCTGTAAATCATTCGTCACGGGCTAGATGTTTACATGCTGTTCTATATTCAAACATCAAACAGAAACAGTTTCGTCCTGTTTTACACACTTCGGCCCACAGTGTTGTATGTTACTTTTGTGTGGACTGTAAAGGTGTTTCGTTAGTTTCGAGGTGGTCATGACTGAGTTACTTTAAGAAACAAAAATGGGGGGGGGGGTGCAATAGCTCACTTAAATATGGTTTGTATAAATCCAGTGTACATTAATATGGATTGTATTACTTAAATGTAGCTTTAAACTATTTACATTCTCAGTGTCTTCATAAAATAATTCTTCGTGGTATGTTAAATTTTGACTAGGTCCTTCATGTGAGAGTTTTTGACCGACATTTTTCAGTCATCGCCTAAAGCCTCTATCAAATTTTCACTCATCGCCAATTATCTATCTGATGAACTAAAGAATAAAAGATCTTAGCAAATTCCTAATAATTTATTAGAAATTCAAAGATTAGGTTTAACTCTCATGCTTTTATTAATGTTACAAACACCACATATTGGCCATATTGTTGTTTTCTTACAAATGGGACATCGTGATCAGTGGCGTGCAGAGCTATGTTGATGCCCGGGGCAAACCCATAGGAAGATGCCCCCATAAATTTTATATATATATATATATATATATATATATATATATATATATATATATATATATATATATATATATATATATATATATACCATATATATATATATATATATATAGGCCTATATATATATATAATTACGGTGTTAATGTTAGTAGCCCTACAATTGACGATAAATTATAACACTACAACATTACGTTATTAATCAGAATACGAATAGAAAAGCATTTTAAAAAATTGACTTAGCTGAACTCTTGAGAAGACTCCATGCGAATATATCCAAAGGAATGACTGACTCAACAAATGTTATAATGGATGGAATTTCGTGGAGGGGGAAAACAGTTTGGGGACATGCCGGATGTTGGGGGAAGGGGGGGGGGGCTAGGGGGGGGGGGGCTATATGCCAAGCCCAACAAAAGAGTTTCCAGTTTCCATTACCCTACCGGGTCGGGCTACGGTCACCGTTGAATTAAATTGGAAAAAAAAACTAAAAGGTCAAAGTTCGCCATTGTTTATTGCTACGACTGAGGCCACGGTTGATGTTAGGCCTAGTGAGTTACCCCCCCCCCCCCCCCCATCTCAAACTTGAACACCCCCTTGTACCTGGTATGTAAATTTGGGATACCCTATTGTATTCTGACCAATGTAGATGTGTTTTTTTTTATGCCTGTACTAGTTACGGACCTTAGAAATGCTAGTTTTGTCTGGTACGTCGAAGTAGTCGGATACGTAGGAATAAAGCGTCTCGTCTTAACTCGATACGTTGAGAAAATATCGATTCTAATCATAGAGAACAGCGATTTCTGCTTGTGCGCCTTGTCGATGTTTAATAGAATTTTTGTATCGCTAAACTTGGGGCCCGCACTTAATGGTCGGCTCTAGGCCCCGAGTATTCATATGCAAACCCTGTGTGGGAATTAATCCAGTAACGGCTACCAGGGCCGCCGTTTATAACTCCCACAATTCATAAAACAACGTGGACTCACTTACTTTACAGATGGCTCTACTATTTATAACATCAGTTCTATTTAAGCGCCCATTTACTTTACAGATAGCTCTACTTTGCATTAAAATACTGTAACATAACTTTTAGTATGCCCTACAATTCATAAAAAATAAAATGGGCACAATTGTTTGAAATGATATCACTACAATTTATATTAAAAATCTGTTGATGCTTATTCTTGAGGGTGTCCTTACAGTGTCTCAGAAACAATATGGACATTCTTATTCTTTAGTATATGCATCAAACCGAATAAATTCTCTAGGGTGTCCCTACAATTTATAAAAAAATAATATGGGCTTACTTCATCTGCAAATGCCCTTAAATTTATTTTATCAAAAATTCTCCCAAAAATTATAAGGATGCCCTTAAAATGTATTATAATGAATATATACATAAATACTTTAAAGATGCCCCCAACAATAGATAAAATGATGATGGGTATAGTTACTGTATGGATGCCCTTCAAATACATCAAACGAATATAAGCTTAATAACTTCAAAGATGCCCCTGCAGTGTATAAATATATATATATGGATATAATAATTATTACTCTAAGGCTCTCATTGAAAAGTAGTAAAACGAATATGGGCATAATTACTTTAAATACTTTAAAAAGATGCCCCTTCAGTGCCTGGAATTAAATTGGCAAAAAGTATTCTAAATGATGCCCCTAGACTATACAAAATAAATATCAGATACACACTTTAATATAAAGACCGCATTTATTAAAGAAACTTTAAAACCTGCTTTTTCAATAAAAGTTGTGCTATACAGATAGAATGTCATAACGAGTGATAGACGACTGAGAATGACAATGTGTTTTGGGTGGGATTGGCAAAAAAAATTAAATCTGTCAGCAATCATGGGGAGGCAGATGAAAACGTATTACGACTCAAAGACACAATTTCCAAAAAAAAAAAAAAAAAATTCACTCCATCGGATGCCCCCTCGAAGTGGATGCCCGGGGCCTGGGCCCCGTCCGCCCCCCCCCCCCTCTGCACCCCACTGATCGTGATTGGGGATAGAGCGCTCGACTGCTATCCTGCAAGTCTCGAGTTCGGATCCAAAACTCGATTCTGCAGGAAGCATCTAAATTCACCCAACTCTAATGGGTACCATACTCACCAATACAGAACTGACACAACAACCCCGTATCTAATTTCACGCAACTCTAATGGGTATCAGACTCACCAAAACCAGAGTTTCTTCCAGGCATCTATTCGGGGGGGGGCCAAGCCTCCCCCCCCCCCCACCCCCCGAAAATGTTTTACCACCCCCCCCCCCCCCCGAACGAAATGAAATTTATATAATTTATATAGAAAATATATACTTTTAACAGTGTTCGCCCTCCCCCCCCCCCCCCCCGAAGAAAGTTTACCGCCCCCCCCCCCCGAAAATTTCAAGTGCCCCCCCCCCCCCCGCCACGGAGAAAAAAGTCTGGAAGAAACACTGACCAAAACAGAAGTGACAATACAATCCCGAGGTCATGGAAACACGTGGACTCTACTACATTTACCCTACATGCTAAATATCGCAAAAGAAAACACATCAAAATGCTAGTGGGATCTTACACTCGATCATTACACCTAGACACTAGTGGGATCTTACACTCGATCATTACACCTAGACACTAGTGGGATCTTACACTCGATCATTACACCTAGACACTAGTGGGATCTTACACTCGATCATTACACCTAGACACTAGTGGGATCTTACACTCGATCATTACAACTAGACACTAGTGGGATCTTACACTCGATCATTACACCTAGACACTAGTGGGATCTTACACTCGATCATTACACCTAGACACTAGTGGGATCTTACACTCGATCATTACACCTAGACACTAGTGGGATCTTACACTCGATCATTACACCTAGACACTAGTGGGATCTTACACTCGATCATTACACCTAGACACTAGTGGGATCTTACACTCGATCATTACAACTAGACACTAGTGGGATCTTACACTCGATCATTACACCTAGACACTAGTGGGATCTTACACTCGATCATTACACCTAGACACTAGTGGGATCTTACACTCGATCATTACACCTAGACACTAGTGGGATCTTACACTCGATCATTACACCTAGACACTAGTGGGATCTTACATTCGATCATTACACCTAAACACAAGTGGGATCTTACATTCGATCATTACACCTAGACACTAGTGGGATCCACACAAAAAATTAAAATCAATAAAAATACAAATCTCTGCAACCTCTCTTTATTTGACAGAAGCCAAAGTAAGCTCCACTAGAAGACATCGATGTCGCAAGTTTTTGACGGACAACGCGTTCCTTCTCCTGACCTGTTGTGGTATAGTGCTGGGCTATGTCGTTGGTCTACTGGTCAAGATGGCCGAGCCTGGACCAGACGCTATGATATGGATTGGTGGGTAGCTTCATTAGTGTAATAGTTTAATTAGTGGCTACTGGTCGGACATGTTCATTAATGTAACTAATTAATTAGTGGGTTTGGTCAGACACCTTGAATAATACAATAAATTAATTAATGTTACTGGTCAGACATTTTCAGTAATGCAGTAACATAATTGGTGATCTTGTTTGAAATTTATGCATGCACAGTTTGGTGGATGGTGATTTGATATGTTTCATTTAAGCCACTAATGGATAGTCTATGGATACACTGGCAGATTCAAGACGAGCATGCATCGCAGACTGAGTTAACGTACCTGACCATACAGTAGTCTACATGTAATATCTATCTGTCTCAGGTCTACCAGGTGAGGTGTACATGAGGATGCTGAAGGTCGTCATACTACCTCTCATCGTCTGCACGGTCCTTGGTGGTGAGCATATCTTGTCATTTTCATGTGCGAGAATAAACCATGTGTGTGAAGGTTTAATGTGCGAGAATAAACCATGTGTGTAAAGGAATCATGATGAATAACATTTGCAAGCAAGTGAAAGACAAATGAAAGAAATATCGAAGACAGATGAAAGGTAGATGTATGACGGATATATAGCAGGTTACGATATATACGTGCTAGGGGAATGACAGATGAATGATAGATAGGAATATCTATAGCTATTGAATAGCAGATGTAAGGCAGATGAATGTAAAGTGAGTAGCATCTGGAAGATGACAAATTAATGACACTGTAAGGCAGTTATTAATTATTAATTAACACTATAAACAGTTCTAAAGTTTTTGTTTTGTTTTAGGAACCGGAAGTACAGATCCCAAATCATGTGGCCGTGTGGGCGTGGTCTGTATGCTGTACATCATACTAACTAACGCCTTGTGTGGCATACTCGGGCTGCTCTTCTGTTATCTAGTTCAACCAGGTAAACTTAGACATTTCACAGTGTTGGTTGCAGTCGCAGTGTTTCTTTCAGTCTTTTTCTCCGGGTAGGGGGGGTGGTACTTAATATTTTCGAGGGGAGGGGGTGGGCGCCGGACTAAATTTTCCGAGACGGGGGACGGAAACTGGTAAAAGTATATATTTTCTATATAAATTCCTTTTCGTTGGGGTGGGGGGTGGGGTGGTGGTAGACTTTCTTCCCCACTGAAGAGGTCCCCAAATCTATGATAAATACACTTTTGTATACATCGGGAAATTGGTGTCCCATCTTACAATGATCGTTGGCAGGTTCTGTAGCAGCTACTACTGTTAAAAACGTGGCGTTGGACACAAAAAATCTGCAGACGATGGATATTTTTGCTGATTTTATTAGGTCGGTGATGGTTCTTTATTAAAGATTATCACAATTTTATATTCAGTAACTCATAATTGTAATTCAAATTGGTTACCTTTATTCTTAGTAAAATTTAAAGAAATTAAACAGTGCGTTAAAATAATTTTACGAAAAAAAAATTATTTTAAAAAAAACTTTCTGTTTCAATTGTTGTATTGTTCTAAGAAAACTGTTAATTCTTTTGGCAGAAATTTTTTCCCAGACAATATTATAGGGGCGGCGACACAAGTGTCACAGACAAAATATGGGTGGAAGGAAATGACGTCATTGGTGGAGGTCAATGGGACGTTAACGAATGTCACATCAAAGTTTGCCACTAAGTCGCTCTCCAATGTAGGAGGAACGAATATATTAGGCAAGTTTGCGTCTACAGTTACGTGTAGTTTACTTTTGCTGTGATTCACAAATGAAGGAGGCAAATGAAGTTTCTTTGATTTAGACTTAAAATGGTGGTTGTCTTTGGTCAAGTTTTTGTTTCCTAAGAAATAAGACAGAAACAGTGTGTTAGACACTTGTGCACAAAAAATACTGCAGTAGAACTGAACTTAGAACCATTCTAGTTGTGGGTTGTTTATTGTAGGTCTTAATATTCCCACCTGTCTGAATGTTGTCATTTCCACCTCCCACAGGTCTGATCGTGGTCAGTGCTGCCTTTGGTGTGGCTGCCTCCATGGCTGGAGATAAAGCCAAACCTTTCATCGCCTTCTTCCAGTCTGGAGCTGCGGTCATATTTAAACTCTTTGACTGGATCAAATGGTAATTGGCCTAATTAACATAGACATAATTACACGATTTAGTGCAGGATTCATCTGGTAGTTTGATAGAATTCATATGTATCATTTTTTAAGAGACGTTAATTCTTCGACAAGACTTTACACGAGATTATCAAAGTTCCAAGTGATGCAAGAAATATCGCCTTACAAAATCTTGTCGTTTTAGGTCGATAAGTGACCTAAAGTATAGGGCCTCACATGCTAAAACTATTTCACCCAAAGTTTAAGTTTTTAATTACGTCATTAGTTAAACTCGGACAAGTCGCAAGCTTTACGAGGCTTCATATGGTATTTTACCCAACATTTCCACTACTAGCTATAGCTACAAAATATAGCATGCTTAAAGTATAAAGTTGATGATCAGCTGAGTTTTACCTTTCTATTTAACACTGAAGTCACTCACCTGTTGTTTAGGACGACACCTGTTGGGGCGGCATGTCTGATCGTCCACGCCATTGCCAGCATTGATGACGTAGGATCGGCCTTCTCCACCATGGGCCTCTTCGTCTTGGTGGTCAGTGGCGGCAACATCCTGCTGCAGGTTCTCCTCTACACCCTCATCTACCTGGTCTTCACGCGGAGAAACCCGTTCACGTTTTTACTCAGTGTCGCCCGCCCGTGGGTCATGGTCATGGGGCCGGGAAATTCGTACGTTTTTTTGTCTGTTCGGGGGGGGGGGGGGGGGATGATCGTGTGAGGAGGCAGGGCATCTGGTCAAGTTATTGGTTGGGGCCAGGAAGGAATTTCATAAGTTTGAACCTTTGCGAAGACTGCCTGTAAAAAAACTTAAGCTATGCTTTTAAAATTTTGTTCGTGTCATGAAGTGGAAATTATATTTGCACGGTACCGTTTTTTTTTTATTGTTGATTTTCTTTTACATTTTCAGTGCCATAGCATTGCCGGAACTTATTGAAATCGGGTATGAGAAGTATGGAATAGATGTACGACTATCGTCTTTCGTCCTCCCGTTCTGTGTAACACTCAACAGAGATGGGAGCTGTTTCTTCATTACAGCCACTTTGCTCTTCATGGCTCAGTACGCCAGCTTAGACCTGACCGCAGGCCTAGTGTTTACAATCAGGTGAGTCTAGGTTACCCCTTGACCCCAGGATAGATCTGACCGCAGGCCTAGTGTTCACAATCAGGTGAGTCTAAACTGCCCCTTGACCCCGCAATAGATCTGACCACGGGATTTCATAATCAGTTGAATACAATACCTCTAGTTTTTAGACATAAAATCTTTGTTTTTAGTTAAGTTTTTAGACAGGAACAACCACAGAAATATGTCTATTTGATGTATCGTCCATTGCATGTAGTACACACAATGTCTCGTCCTCAGATTTGTTTCTAAAAATTGTATTTCTGGTCCATTTATTTCTGGTCCATTTATTTCTGGTCCACAGTATTCTGTCCATTTTGTCATCTCTGGCTGTCCCTAACGTGACCAGCGCCAGCGTGGTTTCGATCCTCATCATAGCCGAGTCACTGGGCATCCCAACAACCAGTATAGGACTAGTGCTGGCTGTCGAGTGGATTAAGTACGTATAGGTTCGGTGTTGTTGACGTGGTGTTGTTCACAGATAAATAGAGGGCTACAATATTATAAAAACACATTCATACTGTTTAAAAACTTTTAGTGTTTCATTGTTTATCTCTGTAAATATGTGTCAAATCGAACAAATATATTGAGATACATCTATGATTTAAGCTAAGACTAAGATTAACCTGGATTCTGATTGGATGTATCAACGGCGTAGCAGGATTTTTAAAAAATAGGGATGTTTTTAAAAAATTGTTGTATCATATATAGGCCTACATATTTTATGTAACATATATATATATATATATATATATATATATATATATATATATATATATATATATATATATATACATATATATATATATATATATATATATATATATATATATATATATATATATATATATATATATATACTAGCCGTCCCGACCAGGCCCTGCTCTGGCTTCTGTGAAAAACCTTTCTGTTAAAGACCATTACCTGTGTGTTTAGTAATCATCATAAACCCGGCATTGCCCACCCAAACCACAACCAACCAAAACCAAAACAACAAAACGCAAACATAACGCTAACACAATTACAAATGCAAACGAAAACAAAAACCTAACAACAAACCCAACCACAACAACAAACACCAATACAAACACAACGAAAAAACAAACAAAAAAGCAAACGAAAACAAAAACCTAACAACAAACCCAACCACAACCACCAATACCAACACAAAAAAAACAACGAAAAAGCAAACGAAAACAAACCAAATCCAAACGCAAAACCAACCAAAAACACAAATACAAACCCAAAGAAAAAAACAAAAACAAAAACGAAAAAAGAAAGAACAAAAACGAACCAAATCAAAACGCAACCACTAACGCAAACCCACCTAAACACAAAGAAAACACTAACGCGAACATAAACGTCCGGGGCGGAATCACCTGTTTTAGTTTAATGAACGACTATAGTACCCCAACTTATTCATAGTCTTTTGCACTCACTCTAACGAACGCGCCTGTTTCAATTTAATGAACAATTATAATACTCCAAGCTTATCCGTAAAATACCCACAACATTTGCACTTGATCAATTGTAATTATTTTTTTCCCAACACCAAAACAAAGTAATAAAAAGTAAATTCTTTTCCACTAATGCAATGGTTTTATAAAGGGAAGTAATTGTGTTTTCCTAATTTATCAAAGGGAAGTAAGTGCTATAGGACTAAATAAAGACATAATTAGAATTTTCTTAAAAGATGATATTTTTTTTTAAACTTGTGTTTAATGAACATGCCGAAAATTATTACTTTCAGTTTGATAAATGAAAATTATTTCCCAACACTTTCAATTTAATTTTTTAACTCATAAATTTAGACCATAAGGACTTTAATTATCTAACACTTAAATCCATCGAAGTATGTCAACGACAAACAAACTTATTTTTACATACAGAATTGAGCTATATATATATATATATATATATATATATATAAAAGAAAAAAAAATTAAAAAAAAGAAAAAAATTATATATATATATATATATATATATATATATATATATATATATATATATATATATATATATATGTCTGTGTGTCTGTGTGTATAAATACAAATCAGATGAGCAATGAGAACAATTGTTGTAATTTAACATGAGGTAGGTGCCATGGATCCCCAGTAGTAGTCCCTGATACTATGTGTTATAGTTTAATAAGTGTGACATTATTACTTTTACTGAAATATTTCATTTGAGCAATCAATTTCATGTTATGCTATATAAAATATTTCTAAATTTGTTTTTACTAAATACAATGTATCTGTTTAAATTGATATTTCATTTAAAATCATTGTACTTGTAGTAAAATCACACAGCCCTATGATATAGTACTTGTAGTAAAATCACACAGCCCTATGATATAGTACTTGTAGTAAAATCACACAGCCCTATGATATAGTACTTGTAGTAAAATCACACAGCCCTATGATATAGTACTTGTAGTAAAATCACACAGCCCTATGATATAGTACTTGTAGTAAAATCACACAGCCCTATGATATAGTACTTGTAGTAAAATCACACAGCCCTATGATATAGTACTTGTAGTAAAATCACACAGCCCTATGATATAGTACTTGTAGTAAAATCACACAGCCCTATGATATAGTACTTGTAGTAAAATCACACAGCCCTATGATATAGTACTTGTAGTAAAATCACACAGCCCTATGATATAGTACTTGTAGTAAAATCACACAGCCCTATGATGATCACATGTTAATAAATTGACATCTTTGTCCACCAGCGATAAGATCAGGACCACCACCAATGTGGTCAGCCATTTCCTGGGTGTGGTGGTCACGTGGTCGGTGTGCAAGAAAAACTTCAGAAAATTGGACATAAAGGACGTTGAAAATGAACTGACTAGCACCGAAGCTCTTTAACCTTAAATGTAAAATTACATTTGAATGCACAAAGCTACGTTAAGTGCAATTGTAATTTCTCTATCAGCACCAGTAGGCAGACACCGTGTTTGATCTTTTATCAATTGACAATGGTATTTTTTGTGATGTCAACCTCACATACTGTCCTGTGTTTGAATCAGATTTAACAAGTGTTGGCAATAGAAGTTTTTAATACCATAACTTCAGTCAATAAATTAAATCAATTGATTATTGTAATATGTTGTACATAATCTACATTTCTAGGGTCTATTCATATATTTACTTATACAAAATACTCGTGACCAAAAGAATAAACCATTCATATTAATTCCTGTTTTCGTTTATGTGTTGGTCTCTACACTTTTCTGCTACAATACCTAAATAGGTTGTGAGGTTGTTACGGTTTCTTGAAAACTTTTATTTTTAAGGTCAAACAAAACAAATTTTCTAGCATCATACAGTAGAAAATATCAGAGTATATTATCAAATATATCTTTACTTTTTATTGGGTGAGTTGCAATGAGACAACAAGGTTTGCACAAAGATGTAACAAACAAAACAGAGCAACCAGCATGCTGTGAATTAAAATCTTTTTACTGTACATGAACATAGTATTTGTACAAAATATTACAATTGCCATTGTTTTAAATAATGAATTGTTTGTCACTGGTATTTGAACACAGGCTGCACGTCAGAATGGTTTGAGATTCACTGATCCTCTATATTCTCACCTAGCAGAAAGTGGTCCAACAACAAAGTATAGCAACATAAAAACATGAATTTGATCACATGACTAGTTTGTACAGCAACAAAATAAATAAATAATATCATAAATAATGGATATTCATACTTATTTGTGACCCCACATAAGATACACTCCCCCCCCCCCACCCCCAACTGACCAGTAAAAATATATTAATAAAACCTAATCACAGTTGTCAAACAAAAGTTATCACAGATATTTCCTGTTGACGTATTTAATGTAGGCGTGTCTGTCTGTGTCAGAGACTGACCCTGCCCCCAACTTGCCACGTTGTACATAAGCTGCGTACAAATCCCTGGCCTGTTTGCTGACAGGGGGAGGTTCCACGTAAAACGTACTGTCCAGCTTGAAGGCGGAGATTGGGAATCTGAGGGACAAGATTGGCCAATCAGAAACGTGTATGTGGGTTGTTCTCTTACCCAAAAAATTAAAATATGTCATCAATTTTGTACCTGTCTCCTCAAATCACTTGTTTTAATTAAATATAACATTCTTCTTAGCTCTGACACCAAAAGTATAACAATCTATTGAGAGCTGACACCAAAAGTATAACATTCATCTTAGCTCTGACATTAAAAGTATAACAATCTATTGAGAGCTGACATGCCTTGAGACATAAATTACTGGTAGCTTTGGCATATAAAAAGTGTGTGTGACCTCTACTTTAAATCAGGTCCCCATAGAAACTGTGTGCCAAGACATTTTTCGGGAACAAACTCAATAGTTAACAGCTGCTTCACATCACTGTTCTATTTTTTATTTTGTCAATAACAGACATTTTATTTTGTGACTGTGTGAAGCAGCCAATGTTTCATTACACAGAAAAACAACTCACATATCAATCCCTGGTAGAACTTGCTTGTGTTTTCCTGGAGTGGAGTCATTGCTTCCCCTGCGCTTAGAATTTTCATCAGTTAGCGTCATCAGCTGTTCAATGTCTACTAGTGGAGTGGGGACACTTTCATGATGACTCTTGGTACCTTTACCTATATCCACATACCTGTGTAATTGATATCCAGATTGAATAGGTTACCTTATGTTTCAAACTTTAAAACAGAAAGGGTTCTGTAGGAAACATTAGTTGATATTTTCTTACAGTTCTCTTTGAAAACTTACTCAGATTATTAGTGTATATAGTGAGTGTTATTTCTTTCAATGAACTTGCATGAGGCTGATTTAGTTTCAGAAGTGGGATTTTGTAGGAATGAACAAATAGTATCAAAAAAGTGGTAAGAACTAACAAAGGAACAGAATACCTTTCATAAATTTTCTGATCCCTAGAGTTTGGTTCTGTAATTTCTGTGTCATAAACTGTTTTCATGGATGGGAAAAGATCCTAAAAGATATTAAAACACAACCAATTAAATGCTATAGGTATTTCAAAAGTCAGCATACCTTTAATTAAAACTTATGATCAAGTCAATGTTTGAAGAGAAAAGCTAAACAAAAGAAAATGTAACCAAAATGTAAACTACAACTGTCAAGTATCTACAAGCAAACAAGCTCTGCTTCACCTGGAATGAAATGAAATTGTTCTCATCTTCAGATCCATGATCACTAGAGGACTCAGACAGCTGGATCCCTCCTTCAACATCCGAGTCATCCGTTGTATCCGAACTCCCCTCAGATCCAAAGGATGTTGTGGAGGATGTTGAATCTTTCCCAGAGATGTTAGGGTTGGATTCTCTAAACAGTTTGTTAATCTTCAATCAAAATGTGTTAGGGTTGGATTCTCTAAACAGTTTGTTAATCTTCAATCAAAATGTGTTAGGGTTGGATTCTCTAAACAGTTTGTTAATCTTCAATCAAAATGTGTTAGGGTTGGATTCTCTAAACAGTTTGTTAATCTTCAATCAAAATGTGTTAGGGTTGGATTCTCTAAACAGTTTGTTAATCTTCAATCAAAATGTGTTAGGGTTGGATTCTCTAAACAGTTTGTTAATCTTCAATCAAAATGTGTTAGGGTTGGATTCTCTAAACAGTTTGTTAATCTTCAATCAAAATGTGTTAGGGTTGGATTCTCTAAACAGTTTGTTAATCTTCAATCAAAATGTGTTAGGGTTGGATTCTCTAAACAGTTAGTTAATCTTCAATGTGTTAGGGTTGGATTCTCTAAACAGTTTGTTAATCTTCAATCAAAATGTGTGAGGGTTGGATTCTCTAAACAGTTTGTTAATCTTCAATCAAAATGTGTGACTAAGTTCAACCAAATTTAGCTAGTCTGTCTTGTTGTCAGCTATAAGTGTAATTAATTTTATTATTTAGATGTTTGAATTACACACTTACCTCTCTGTGTTGTCGGTGGAGTGTCTAACAGAAAATGGACTAAAGTCTAAAGAATTTTTGGGTAAATGTTTCCTGGGCAAGAACATAATAAAAATGTATCAGCAAGTATCATGGACTAATGGATCTATCTAAGCATGAAAACTGTCGCTATATACAGAAAATACTTTGCTTAACATATTTATCTGGCTATATTTTAAATGTCATAAAAAAACAAAATAAAAACATGAATTACCAACACGCATGTTACAAATGTAAAAACATGACACACCAACACGCATGTGATAAAAGTAAAAAAAATTACTTACCAACACGCATGTGACTAATGTCAAAAAATGATCTACCAACACGCATGTGACTAAGGTCAAAACATGAACTACCAACACGCATGTAACTAATGTCAAAAAATGACTTATAAACACACATGTGACAAAAGTAAAAAAAAATGACCTACCAACACGCATGTGACAAGAGTAAAAAAAATGACCTACCAACACGCATGTGACAAAAGTAAAAAAAAAATGACCTACCAACACGCATGTGACTAATGTCAAAAAATGACCTACCAACACACATGTGACAGATGTCAAAAGTGACCTACCAACACGCATGTGACTATAATGACCTACCAACACGCATGTGACAAAAGTAAAAAAATGACCTACCAACACGCATGTGACTAATGTCAAAAAATGACCTACCAACACGCATGTGACTAATGTCAAAAAATGACCTACCAACACGCATGTGACAAATGTAAAAAAAAATGACCTACCAACACGCATGTGACAGATAAAGCTGGTACATCTCATCAAAAGACGTCAGCTCTGTAGGTCTGTAATGTTCATGAAACAGGTTCACGTGTTCGTCTGTCTGGGGGACGGCCATTATGGTGGCCTGAGCACTTTTTGGTTTGGACACTGGACATAGAAGGGGTCAAAAACAATCACAGTTATGTTTATAGAGAAACAAACAATAGAAACAGCAACAAAATGTTGGTAAGAGTTGATATAAATAGTAGCTCGAGAATCAGTTGGTTTAAACAAGATTAGGGTCTTTAAAGTGAGGTGGTAACTATACAGGACTATACAGTTATGGTTAAAGTTAGATGGTAACTATACAATTATGGTTAAACCTAAATGGTAACTGTACAGTTATGGTTAAAGTTAAATGGTAACTATACAGTTATGGTTAAAGTTAGATAGTAAATATACAGTTATGGTTAAACCTAGATGGTAACTTTACAATTATAGTTAAACCTAAATGGTAACTGTACAGTTATGGTTAAAGTTAGATGGTGACTATACAGTTATAAATAAACCTAGATGGTAACTATACAGTTATGGTTAAACCTAGATGGTAACTATACAGTTATGGTTAATGTTAGATAGTAACTATACAGTTACAGTTAATGTTAGAAGGTAACTATACAATTATGGTTAAAGTTAGAGGTAACTTGCCTTCGTCCCGGGGGAGGGGTAAGCTTGTCCACACTCCAGACTCCCACCACTGACAGTAACTAAAACAAAAGATTTTTGTAGAAATTTTTTTTTATTTAAAAAATTCCAACATTCAATACCAGAAATAAACAAAATCCATCCTGATGTGCCATCACATCAATTATAATATTTAACATTTTGGTGTTGTAAAGGGAGAAAACAGTAACTGGTTCAAAAATATTCTTTTAACAACATATTATGCTAAAATTAAGGGGAGATAACTTACTGGTTGCGTTGGAATGGAATTCCCATTGAAGCTTTGTTATGAAGGTAATAATCACTAGGCAAGTCCCAAAGGTTTGGCTTCCCTTCTACAGGGATGAACACTCCCAGGAATAGGTTGAAAGCTTGCTGCTTTTCTACATCTAAAACACATTGAAAACAATCAATAAATGCCCCATTGTAAATCTGATCAGTAGCGAGATAAAAAATATCTGTTGCCTTGGGCTGACCTCAGGCTATTTCAATACAGTGAACAAGAGAATTTACCACAGAAGTATTGCTGTAATAGCGTGAGAGATATTTACCAGAGAAGTTGTTGCTGTAGTAGCGTGAGAGGGTCTGCATGATGTCCCGACTGTGGGAGGTCCACCTGGCCAGCTTACGGTAGCCCTTGATGCGGTGGACCAGCTGGCTACCCCCGTACTGGAGAGCCAGGGTGTCTCCATGATCTTCATACAGCTCTTCCAGCATCCTGAAACATTCAAAGGTTCTTTAATCCATGTCTCACATAAGTAAAGAACTTAATTATTATTTCATGCAAATGCAACATGATTTCAAAATGTATCTGTGGTTCCTTGTTCTTGTACATTTGATCTATGTTTATTTTCTAGCAGGCTATCAGAACAAACTTACTTAACACAGTCTGTATCGAAGTCCAAGTGAGGGCTTTCTAGGACTCCCATGGCGTAAAGCTGAAAAAATTTTTACAAATTAAAATACCATTTCTAGTGTTTTAAAAAAAATAACTGGCCTATCTGGCAACCAGAGCACTTAATTATTTTTTTAAATAGCTGGCCCACCCCTATAAACCAAAGCAAACCTCTATTGATAAGACTGGACAACTCACCTGATAAGCCAGAGCACTCCTCAAAAAACAACTCACCTGATAAGCCAGAGCACTCCTCAAAAAACAACTCACCTGATAAGCCAGAGCACTCCTCAAAAAACAACTCACCTGATAAGCCAGAGCACTCCTCAAAAAACAACTCACCTGATAAGCCAGAGCACTCCTCAAAAAACAACTCACCTGATAAGCCAGAGCACTCCTCAAAAAACAACTCACCTGATAAGCCAGAGCACTCCTCAAAAAACAACTCACCTGATAAGCCAGAGCACTCCTAAAAACTAACTCACCTGATAAGCCAGAGCACTTCTCCCCAAAGCAAACTGGGCAGTGTTGGTCCTGTCCAGACAGTCCACACAGTTTGTCCTTACTGCACCTGTCTGCAAACTTCCTCGAGGTCCCCACACACCTTTCAGACTCCTCAACCTGCGGAATTTATAGAGCCTGTATAACACAACACTTTAATTGTATAATCATGCTAAAATAAATGGAGGCAATATCCTACACAACGACAGCTTTACTGTATAATCACGCTAAAATCAAAGTGTTTTGTTTACACAAAAAAACATCAGTGGATGACTTTAAAAACACATGAACAAGACATAGATCTATAACTGGATGAGATCTACTTACTCTGGATCCTTGAGCAAATATTGAGCTTGTGAAGGCTGAACGCTTAGAAAAAATCCTGTCTGTTTCATGCAGTAGCGGGCAATACGATTTAGCCTGAGCATAACATCGGCATCTTTCCTGGGGGAGTGAGGGGTGTGGGGGGGGGGGGGGGGGGGGGGCGCATTTTATTCAAAGCAACATTAAATAATAAAATCACAGTGTTGAACTATATTTGCTAAAGAAATATTTAACTCACTTAATTTGGTTTAATCTTACCAACCTTTTGTTGACTCTAGCCATATCAAAGCCGATGTACTGAATGCCATACTCTGTAGGCAAGAACTGGTTCAGATAGTCAATGGCTTTAATAAAATCTTCACTCAGGATGCTCTCATGGCGCTTGTTCTCACGTGTCTGGTGGATAAATAATTCACTAAATCAGTTGGATTAGCTGGGTGGATAAATAATCCACTAAATCAGTTGGATTGGCTGGGTGAATAAACAATCCACTAAATCAATAGCATTGGCTGGGTGGATAAATAATCCACTAAATCAGTAGGACTGACTGAATGGATAAACAATCCACTAAATTAGTAGGATTATTTGTGTTTGATGTGAAGAATTTACGGTTAAAATACAAAAATACAGTGGTAAACCTGACTAGCTGATTTGTGTAAGATTAGTTATAACTAATGCTAGTTAGTTGCAAGATTAATTAGTTAAAACATAAGCTCAGCAGTAAAAACACAAAGATGGTTTGAGCGTACCTTGACAAGATTAAGAACAATAATTGGAGCACCATATCTGCACAGCAACTGGTTAAAATGCATCCCGGCGGCGCCAGAATATGGGTCCCTCTGGTCCACTGGGGAAGTAAAATGTTGAATCATGATACGTCTTTTATGAAACAAGTTTTTATTTAACTTTTTTGTATAAAAAATTTCAATAAAAATGCTAAACAGTGCTAACTCTGAACACAACATACAACAGCTATAAGCTAGTGGATATGATACAAAAATTATACACTCAGATGAATTCAGTAAACAACAATATTTTTGTACAATGTTTTTAAAATTTACATGAGATAAATTATTTACAAGTAATAAAATAACTATTTACATGTGATAAATAGCTATTTACATAAGAAAAAAAAACAATTTACATGTAATAAAATAACTATTTACATGTGATAAAATAACTATTTACATAAGAAAAAAAAAACAATTTACATGAGATAAAACAAAGTACTTACATGTGATGGGAGGTTTGACCATCTTGGAGATGTCTTGTGACCAGAACAAAGGGACAGAACCTCGATGTTGGACAAATGAGGAGACTTTCCCATGCCCAAGAAATGTGACTGAAGTATCTTGCAGAATTTGTTCCGTTTCTATCTCATTGGCAACATATCCCTGTCGTGGAGTAAAGCACTGGTTTTTGCACAAAATTTCCTTTAAAATTCACAGATAATACTGGAAACTAAATACTTTTTCATTAATAGCTGCCCCTGACTACACTTACTTCATCATTTGCTCCTCGCTTCAAAAATCTTGTTCCCGCATACTGATTAGACCGCCGACCAATCAAAGTAAGGTAAATAGATTTCCCAAACACACATACATCTTGCAGCATTTTAAAGAATCTACTGAAACCAGCGTATGTAACACAGCTAAATCACTTAAAACAACTAAATGGTAAGACACAAAATATCAGAACATTGTTGAGTTGATTAGTTAAACCAGGATAAGCAAGGATACTGCTTTGTCCTATGAACCCATGTATTATATACAGGACCCAGTCTGAATGAACACTGTTTTCAAATCCCCGAAGCAAATAATTGTTCCACACATATTTCCTACAAGGAGCATTCTTGATCCCATACATCACTTGTTCTGGAGAGGAAATTTTGATTAATCATTATAAAAGGCATGTAGAAGAAGCCAACAGCCTAATGAGTTCTTCCTTACACATTTTCCTTATGAAACAAGTGTTGATGACAAACCTGTTTTAGTCTCCCTCTCCTGCACATCTAAGGCACTGTGGTCCAGGGTCAAATTATTCACCTCATCAATACAAATATCTTCCTTTAGATCAGCTGTTGTGGTGGACGGTTCATCGTTCTCCCAGATAGATGAGCGTTTGGGAAAATGGTGGCCAGGCTTGCTTTCACTGCGACTCAGGGGGACGGCTGTGTCTGGGCTGAGTACTGGTGTCATGTTGAACTGTAGCGTGTGTGTCAGGTCATAGCTGTAGCTGTAGGTGCAAGTATTATATGTATCAGGTCTTAACTAAACTATCAACTATTTATTTATCAAATTTTACTTCTCCATCACAGAAGTAACTAAAGTTTAAATTTTTCATAAAAAATTGTGCATCTGCAGTTATAGAAGAATGTGAAAAAGGTTTGCAAAAAGTAACAATAAAAATATATATTATTCGTATTGTTACTCAAATATTACCTGAAATAAAAATTGCTTGACAAATCCACTGTTTGAAACATTTTCACGTACCTGTATTAGATTTCAAATATAAAATATAAAGGATAAAACATCTATAAAAAGCAACATTGGTTTATTATTTAAATACTTGTGCACAGTGCTAATCAGTCAAACACTTTATTCTAAGAAGGTAGACCTAACAACATGCATTGTACTAATAAGCCAATCACCTTGTACTTGATTTAAGGAGCAAAGGCCTTACACTGAGATGGTGGCACAAAAAAGTTCATTAACACAAAGTAAAATCTACTGGAGATTTACTGGCTGACCATGGCCACATAGAGATTTACTTATAAGTAAACAAATACATCAAGATTGACATGTTGACCATAACTATATCAACTCACCTACTCTCATCAGGATGAGCATATCTAACAGTATCATTGGGAATGTACAGCATGGAAGTATCTTCAACTTTATATACAGAATGGGAGCCAATAAGAGCCACTCTCTTACGTTTGGTCACAAGGATCATGTAGTAGCCTTCCAGGAATCTCACAAAACCTGCACACAGAAAGAAATAACATAACGTATTGTTTTGTAAATTAAGTTAAGCTTGGATATCTTAAACTCAGAATCTTCAATTAAAACAATACCCGCAATGCCAAAAGCTGAGATGTTTTTAGATAGTCCAGCAGAATTAGATCCCTGTTTCTTGGGTTTGTTGCCTCCATCAATCATGGATAGAACACTGCGGATTTCACTGCGATTGTATTCAACCTTAAAAATATTGGACAGCTCTTTGTAAAAACACACCAGGGGGTTAGGATATAATCAATGCAATGAAATAATAAGCATTATTTTAAAGAAACCATGTGTAAGCATAAAAATGAAATTAATAATGTATGACTTTACTTGAATGAAAAATATCATAACATTTATTTTAAACTTATTTATTTTGTGAGGATTAAAGCCATCTTTGTGAGAGTCTAACATGAACAAACCTTGTCATCATGAATAACCAAGTCTCGAGGCTCAGTCCTGTCAATCTTCAGCACTCGATATCTTGTTTCAGATTTATTTGATCCAACAATGTAGTAGCGCTGTTAAAGGGAGAAGTAAACAACTTAAAATATTTCCAGATACTTCATTTCTATAAATAGGTAAACTTATAAACAAATTTGTTTCAAAATCAGTTTCAACTTTGGAGGGTATTATAAAATAAAAATGGCACAGCTTTCGTCATGAAACTCCACATTTGTTAAGACCCTTGGCCCTTGACACTTTATTAATTTAATCATGATCTGTATAATGACTAATCTATTACACTCTACATGGGACCGCATGGCTGGGTGGTAGAGCTCTTATGTTTAGATCTAGGACTCAAGCCTGTAGGACAGACATGAGTCCAGCCAACTCTGATGGGAACCTGGATTTAAGGAAGGTAAAAAGACAGGCATAGAGCTGGACACATAACTCTGCCATAGTCAAGAGACAGATGAACATTATTTTTTCTGCACTATGCCCTGGCCTATGGATTGTTGGGTCAGAAAAGGGAACTTTACTTATTAGGCCATACACTATTTAAAAAGTAAATTGAATAAAATTTGAATTTTTTGTATTCATATCTGGAAGTGTAAAATTAATTGTTCTTAGACAAAGTCACGTTAAGGCCCAAACTGACTTTGTGTACCCTGTTGCATTACCTACTTTTTTATACCGTCGTCGTGGTAATGAAGGCCACCAAAAACAACAATACCTTGATTTGGTTTTTTAAGGATAGGCACCACGGATAAATTTTTTTTTTTATTTAACACATTTCTGGTTGTTTAATAAGTTCATATAATTATAGTTGTTAAACTATAGACAAAAATAATATATAGCCGTCCATAGCAGTACTGGTTGCCATGGAAACAGCGAAAAGGTGTGAAAACTAACACCTTTTCAAATCGCTAAGGCTTTGTTCCCATAAGAGATTTTAAAAAGCGGATGAAAGATTTAGATTTCTCAAACCAAACTATACATTTCTACGTTTACTCATTGCGATAGCTTGTACTCAATTTTTTATACAAATTTTTACGTAAATTTATGTACAAAAATTAGGGGGTGGTGTTACAAAAATATCAATATCTCCTTAAGTATTGTAGTAAACTTAATGTACAAACGTAGTTTTGTAGATGGTATAATGCTGAACGCACGTGGAATGTTTTATTCTTGTATGACAAAGGGTTCCAAAGCCTTAGCGATTTGAATGTCGAATTTTGAGTAAAAATGCAAAGTTGAGAAAACGTGAAAAGAAGAGCGGGAAAAGGCGCGGTGCGTTTTCTCTTATAGAAAACAGAAAAAAAACGTCTTGTTATATGTGGAAGAACCATTTGTCTAATAAAATACGCTTTGATTTATGTTGTAAGCTTTAGATAGATTTTTTCTATGTAAGCAGAAAATATGTATACAACAGGTAATGAATGTATGACTATTAAGTATTACACATCCTATCAATCGAGCGGTATTCTCAGAACAGCTATCATCAAACCAGATAAAGTTTTGTTTGTTAGCCGGTCTTCTCACTTCAAAACAATGTCTTTCTCTACTCAAATTGTAGCTTACCCAAGTTTATTGCCTTATGATAATAGCCTACAACACAACACTGGGTACAACGCTTGAGGCTAGACACGCCCCTCCACCCCATCCCACCGCTGGATAGTGCGTGAGGAACCGATGAGCCATAGATTACCAATGTTCATTCAACCCTGAATAACACATCTGTGTAGATAGGGTCAAGTACAGGGCCTAAGTGAATGCTTCCCAGCTATCCTATCTACTACTATCTAGTATTTACATTCGTTGCTAGCACACCCTATACGGAGAGATGGGCATACACATTAACACATGTGTCGTATACAGTCCGGTGTAAAGCCTGATGAACGCGTTCAAGCCTATCACAGCAGGCCGTAACATGATTATAAACCGGCCGTTGGTTGAATGGCGAGAAGGGAATGAAGGGGGTAAAGGGGATGGACAGTACATTCTTCAAACTGATAGTCATGTCCATGACGCATTGTTTCAGCTTAGTATAATTTTAAAGCGTACGCAGCAGTGTTTAATATTGTTCCAGTGATAATCAACAGTACATTTCTAGGCAAAGTTTCAATTATTAAACTTAATGTTGTTGTATAACTTTAAAACAACAAGAAGAGTATACGCAAATGAGGTAAACAAACGAGACAGGCGATTGTTTTGTTTATCTAGAAACAAGATGGCTGCCTAGCACACGTGGTTAGTTGCAGCCTATCGTGAATTATTTTGATTTACTGTACTATAATATGATTGGTCAAGCGTATCAATGAACCTCTTCCCATTCATAAATTTTACGCGCATGCCCTTATATGGAGTTTACTAGAAAATTTTACTTTGTAGAAAACAACTTCTATCCCAATTATTTTTAGAACAAAAGAAAAGGTCACTACACCAGCGGGTACACGAGTGCTTGACCCTTAGATTGCTGTAAAGTTTATGGTGCCTCGCGGGCAATAAATGATGTAATACCCGCTCGAAGATAGCCGCTGTCCGCGTAGTAGTGTGAAAACTTGACGGGGGGTACCATGTTTCACATCGCAATAAACGGATAACTGTAAGCTGTAGAAGTCCGAAATGTTCGGGTTAGATAGATAAAAGGTATTAGTATCGAATTAAGAAATAAAAATTTTGGGGAGCAAAATTAAAACTTTATCGAAAACATGGGTATCTTGTTCCCTTAAAAATGTTTCATGGTCATTTCAGAAACATATAGATTCTACTTAAAACCATTATTTATGAGTATTATTCAATGATACCAATCTAGTTTTAACAATGGACAGTTAGTGTTTGATGCAAACTTGCCATTTGTGCATTGTTTTGGTCTAATTGCTGATATCCAGCAAAACATAAGTAAGCAAAACGTTAATTACTGTATTTAACAATATTGTAAAAACACTCAAACTTTTATAATCTATAGAAAATTATTTGTTACGTCCTACTAAACTAATTTCATTAATTTTGTTTTTAAAATCATGCAATGTAAAAAAAAAACCTTAAAATAAATAACTTGATCAAGACAACAGCCAACTAAGCCCACTCATTTTGCCCACAGTGTATTTGAATGAGAAGAAATCTAGCAGCCGATAGGATACATTTCTGCTATGGTCAATCCTGTCACAACAAACAACACTCCTTAAAAGTTTTAAGGCTTAAAACAGTCCCCACTGGGCTACCGATTAATTTTGATAATTATAATTGGTGGCCTATCAAATTAAAGGTAAATACTAAAAAAAAAAAATAAAGAAGTTAAAAATCTTAGGCGACACCCTTGGTCAGGCTTAGTGAGTTAGTCTTCCTGCGAATTGACTTTTTTTACTACCACATTCACAACATCGTCGACTAACAGTCAACTAACACTGTTAGTCTAAGAGTTTAATTGTCTAACTCTACTCTACAGTTACAGGAGGAGTCTAACACAACGACCAACAGCAACGATGGATCATGGATGTAACTTTTTTTTTATTTTTGGCGATTTTTTTCAAAGAACTAGACTAGGTCTAGAATCTAGATATCTAATCTTAAAATTAAAAACTTCCACATTTTATAAAATATTTTAAAATAAGTCGAAGCTTTCAGACATACTGCTTTTGTTTCATATAAGACAATCTTTTGAGTCCATGTTATAAGTGGTACCTCCTCCATGTTTACATAGGCTAAACCAAAAGTATTTTTTTGATACAAAAGAAACAAGCAAAAGTCACATGACTTAAACCTCGTGACTGTCATGTGTTATACTCTTCTGTGTTGCTTCATAGATAAATTTCTAAATACTAAGATTAAGATGGCAGCCACCATCTTTCAAGAAAAAATGGGTCTACTTGTTTGTTTTATTTTGCTCAGCACAGCATTAGCTGAAGAATGCAAAATTGGAAAATATAATATTACAGAGTTGCATAGGTTGGGTTTTTTTTTTAATTTATAATTTAGATCAAGAATCAAAATTTTAGGGCTAGGGCTTAGCTAGTATTTTTTTTTTTTGTTATTTTAAAAATATTTTTAATAATTTTTTTTAAAAATTAAGGCCAAAAAAAATTATTAAATTTAAAAAAAATGAAAGGTTAAGGCCCTAAGGGTAATAAATTGTTAATGTACTAAATTACAAATGAAATAGGCCTAGGTTATCTTACTAAATTTTGAGTTTAATTTTGTTAGCTGGATTGTTCTATTAGGCCAGGCCCACACCATCATCACCATGGCATAGTCCAAATGTATAGTTTGTATAGAATAGTAAATCTTCAAGACCCTAGCTAGCCGCTAGCCAAATCTACTACTATATTAATCTAACGACTGATATTTATTTAAAAAACTCTAATTAATTATTAATGAGATAGGGGTCGGCGTGGTCGAGTTGGTAAAGCTCATGGTTGCTAAACCGAAAAGTCTTGAGTTCGAACCCTCGGGCAGATGAGGCTCGTAAGCTAGGGACAGCCACTCTTCTAGGAGAGACAATTCCAAAATCAAACAACTGCTGCCTTGTAGTTTCTTCTCGGTTGGACAAAGGCTATGGAAGCAAATCCAAAAAGAAAAGCAGGCTGAAATCTGAGTCAATGGCCTCAATGGCGCATAAAAGTTGACACATATCCTTAACTGTGATGGAGGCATGGTTGAGTTGGCAAAAAAGCCCATGGTTGATAAATTCGAAAAAGTCTCAAGTTCAAATCCTATGGCAGATAAGGCTCGATCCCTTCCAACACTAAAAATTAAGAACAAAGAAGAAGAAGATTAATGAGATTAATGGTTTAACAAGTAGATAGTAGATATCCTCGCTAAATCTAAAGTTATTAATTCAATTTAACAATGACCACTGAATAATATACATCCATATTTATTATTTAATCCATCAGGCACACCTTTCCATTACAACCATGTAAAACTGTTATATCATTCTTACAAGCCACAAATCGGTTTGACTTAATAACTGGCTATGCATGAGAGTTCCTGAATAGTAATCAACCAAATAGGGGTCACATGGTTTTTTAAAAATAAAAAGAAATTGGTGGTGATTTGAGCGCAAGTCTTATAAAAGACAGCTCACAATATTTTATTTCTTTTTTCATAGACTGATAAACCTAATAATGCTTCACTTATTCGCTCATTTTTGTACCTACTCCATTGATATTTTAAACGTTCTATTAATTTTAATGAAATCAACTTTTAAATTTAACCTTCATTCTCCAAACCAAATTTTAAAATGCTTTTCTGGCATATATACCCATGCCACCTATAGTTTGTTTTTATAACATGAAAACCTGCCATTTTGCTTGTGGTAAACATTTTTAAAAGTAATTCTAAGAAGGTCACTGGAACTAAGATGAAAAATGGTCAGAATCAATGTGTCCAGGAGAGATAACTCCAAACTGAATCAACTGCTGCCTTGTGGTTTGTTCTTGGTTTTACAAAGGCCATGGAAGCAAATCCAAAAATAAAAGCAGGCTGAAATTAGAGTCAACTGCCTGTATGGTGCATAACCTGTTGACATGTATACTTAATTGTGTGGGAGGGAATCCCTTCCAACACTAGAATTAAGAACGACGAAAAAGAAGAAGATGTGTCCAGTATTGATGCCATGTATTGTTGTTAGCAACCGGCCCAGCTTCCAGATAACATTGTGTGTTTTTGTGGTCCCTTGATTACCCTTATATTAGTGCAGTCTGATGCAGTTTTCCAGCTTTGTTCTTCTCATTGCAAAATGTCTCATATATTAAAATGTTCAACTGTGTTTTCTTTCTAAACGGGAGGCATCAAACTGTAATTTTTTCAAATTAATTTTTGCTATGTAGTACATGTATTCACTTTTACAATAATATCACAATTTAAAAATGCACAAACTGACAAACCAAACTATTAATAGGCCTATTGTTTGTTAAACTACATTTTTAAAAATTACCTTCATTTTATTTTGCTTTTTTTTTTTGTCAGGTTTGCTCCTTGGTATACCATTAATGAAAACACGAATGCCACTTTTGAAATTACATTGTGCGGGAAGCTAGCAACAGTGGCTTCCCAAAAAGGCTGCCCTCCTGAAACATCAGTGTGTGCAAAGTACCCAAATAACACATTTGTAAGCTATGGAAACTACAGCGCAAACCAAGACCTTCATGAGCCAGATGAAGGAACAAACGGGGAGATATTGATGTTGTTTAAGGGACAGCCTTGTCAAGTGGCTGGAGAATTCTACTCAATAATATTATATTTCAAATGTGGTAAAACTTTGGTATGTATTATCTTCTACCATTGTCTTCAAAGTTTGGTTTTACTGTCTGATTCTTCCCCCAAACTACCATGTAAATAAAATTTTACACCTCTTGTATCATAATTTTATATTATATCAAATCTTAAGAACTAGGAAGTAAAACATTTTAACTTTATAGCTGTAGCTAAAAACAAGTGCTGGAAATTCCACCCATTGTCAAGTACCTATCCATTAATTGTCTAACATCAATGTGCGATGTCAGGATTTGAACATTTCTCACTAATTTATCCAGAGCATTTAATGAGTGATGCTAATGTTTACCAACCTTTCTGGGCTGTGTCCCACCAGGCTATTTCTAAAAAAAATTTATGGTTTGATGAAATTCCCCCTCATTATGATTTTATTTTACCGATTTTTAGTAATGAACTATGTAATTTAATTACGAGCCTTTAAAGTATGATAGTTTGGTTTTGAGAAGTAGACTTAACTGTTACTCTTAGACTTTAATGAACACCCTTTGGGCATAGATGCTTCTTGAAAAACACTGCATCCCAGTGCAATTACAACTTTTTTTGTCATGAACTCAAACTCTAAAAACAGGATTGTTTTTTGTGTTAAGAAATGTAATTTGACTTTTTACAAGACTTAAGTTTTTACTCGAGTCAAAAATTCTTGCTGCGTGTTAAATGCTTACTTGAACTACGACTGTACTTACACCCCTCATGTTTTATAACTGCAGACTTTATGGCTTGTTTAACCACTCATTGCCTTCTCCAGGGTTATCCTAAATACATGGGAGATTTCGACTGCTCAGCACACTTTGAATGGGAGTCCTATATTTTCTGTAAAACTATGCCAGTCCCTGACCAAGAGGTCCCTTGTGCAGTAGTTAACAAGGGGAGCCTGATTGACCTTTCACCTCTGATAAAACTTACTGGTGGCCATTTAGTGGATGATGGCGACAGGTTTAAACCGGATGAAAAGTTATTTATAAATGTGTGCAGAGATATTACTCCAGGCATGTTTTTCTCATTATTGCTTTATTTTTAAACCATGGTTCACTATTTTACTTTTGTAGTTCAATATTTCTTTTGAGTATTTAGAAAACTATATCTAGTGTATATGACAAGTTTGTATTACCTGAAGTGATAGCTTTTGAAAACAAAATCAGTTACATAATAATGTGAATTTATCATCTATTTGGATATAAAATAATATAATCTTTGTTTTATTGTTATTAAAAAAATGTATAAAACCAGTAAAATTACTTTTTTTTTATTTTATCTGTGGAAAACTAGGCACAGAACCAGGAGATGTAACAAAAAACTGCAGCAAAGGTAGTTCCTCTTGTGTTGTTTCCACACAAGGGAGAAGAGATTTCGGCAAGCCAACTGGTCGGCTGCAGTCATTCAGCAACTACGTGGCATTAGTGTACAGGTCGCCATTAACCCCAGAATGCTACATAGAACCAGAAACAGTAATCACATTCCGATGTCCACAGAGAGGAGGGGTATGTTATTTACACTCATATAATTTTGTGTGTATATACCAATGTAAATCTTCTTTTTAATTGAAGCATTTTAAACAGTTATTTTTTTTTATGTTTAGCTTTTCTTTGATCCAAAAAGTAATTTCATCTTGTGTTTAGTGTGTAGTTATATTGTATATAAATTTCTAAATGTCAGAGCAAAAAACCAACGGTGACCAGCTATTTTAACAGCACGTGTAGTTTAATGATAGAGTGGGTCACAGAGTATGCATGTCCAGTGGATTATATAACAAGCAAAGACTGCAAGCTGACAGAAGAACAGCATGACATTAACATTGACCTGAGCCCACTTAAAGCTTCACAAGGTAAGGACATGTATATCACTGTTTTGTTGCTATTTTTATAGTCTTTTTAATCCTTTACCCTACTTATCAAACACTTAATACTTATATAGCCTTGTATATACATATGAATAGATATATGGGTGTACAGACAGATAGATATATAGTGTAACAGATGTGCATTGTGTTGTCCCTGTTGTGTTCTGAATATAATTGTTTATATGTTGTGTGTGAAGCCAAACTAGTTCATTAATTTAAGAAGTGTTTATTTGTACCCCATGAAGCCAAACTAGTTCATTAATTTAAGAAGTGTTAATTTGTTGCATGTAAGGCCAAACTAGTTCATTAATTTAAAAAGTGTTTATTTGTACCCCATGACGCCAAACTAGTTCATTAATTTAAGAAGTGTTTATTTGTTGTGTGTGAAGCCAAACTAGTTCATTAATTTAAGAAGTGTTTATTTGTTGTGTGTGAAGCCAAACTAGTTCATTAATTTAAGAAGTGTTTATTTTTACCCCATGTGGGTGAAATAAGTTTAACCACATTCATTTTTATCTTATGTTTATTGTAAAAAAAAATTTTTTTTTGCAAAAACATTGCTATTTTTACTTTACTTACTTTCAGCCAATCCTTATACTGTGAATGTACAAGAGGGTGATGACAGCTACATATATAACATCAACGTGTGTGCACCACTGGCTGGAGAGTGTGGCAGCTCATTAGAAGATACAGCCTTAGTTTGCCAGAGAAAAAGTGAAGATGACTTTGCAGCAAGTGTTGGACAATTTGGACATACAAAGCTGATGTAATTGTATTGTAATGGTGTACATTGTCAGTGTGGGGTATTGTAATGGTGTACATTGTCAGTGTGGGGTATTGTAATGGTGTACAGTGTCAATGTCTGGTATTATGGTGTACATAATTAACATGTGGACATGATCACTAGGTATTCTGATGGAGATCTGACTATGATAATTAAAAATGGAGACCGGTGCCGCTCCAACTTCAGAAGAGAGACCATCATAGACTTCTACTGCAACAAAACAGCAGGTTGGTGCAGTAGAGTTTTCTAAATTTGCACTACAACTTAACAGACTTTAACAAGGAGAACATCTGCCAGATGGCCACATCTTTTAAAGTATCCCCTCCATGTATCTGTCAAAGTAACCATTTTTTGCAGTATTATATTAAAGATAAATTCTGCACTTGCACCAGGATTACTAGACCATTAGTTTAAAAAACAAAAAGCTCTAAGTTGTATATTGTGTTTTGTCTGTCCACAATACAAGCACTGTATTTCATTATTTTACTGCCAGTAGTTTTACATAATTCAAAACAGAGGAGCTACAAAACTGGTTCAATGATGTCACTAGAAAATTTTGTTTCCCTAGCTAACAATGGGCTTGGCAAACCAGAATTCATCCGCCACTCCAACTGTTCCTACTTCTTCAGCTGGGGCACTAGTCTGGCCTGTCTGGATGACACGTTTGACAGGACTTGCTCAGTGGAGTACCAGGGGAAAAAGTTTGACCTGTCCTACTTTGAACATCAAGATGGTGAGTACAAGCTCATGTTTTGTGGGAAAGTTAGTCCACCTATTGCACTAAGTTTATTGTCATAAGACTGTCTGACCATAGCTTTGTAGAAGTAACTTGCCTGCAATTACATATAGATCTAATTACTGTAAGTTTCTCAAGAAATATTTAGTTAAGTTGGCACCACTCTTCTCATCACTGGCATGTTTAATAAGATTTTGACATACTCAACAAATAGAGTTGAACAGTGTAAATATGGAATAAACTTTTGATGTGACCGTGCAGGCTACAGCTACCCTGTGATGACCAGTGATGGGGCAGGGGACTTGTACTTCTTGAACCTGTGCCATGACATTGTGGGCAAGGGAGACTCTAGTGGATGCCCTGCTGGATCAGCTGTTTGTAGGAAAGGTAACTCTTGCACATTTGTTTATTGAACATATTTAAAATCTTGCAGTAAAGTGTTGATCAATACACTTAAATAACCCTGGCACTTATTTGATATTTTATGACATGCTTGTTGAAAAATACTTTTATGTTTCTATTTGATATTTTATGACATGCTTGTTGAAAAATACTTTTATGTTTCTATTTGATATTTTATGACATGCTTGTTGAAAAATACTTTTATGTTTCTATTTGATATTTTATGACATGCTTGTTGAAAAATACTTTTATGTTTCTATTTGATATTTTATGACATGCTTGTTGAAAAATACTTTTATGTTTCTATTTGATATTTTATGACATGCTTGTTGAAAAATACTTTTATGTTTCTATTTGATATTTTATGACATGCTTGTTGAAAAATACTTTTATGTTTCTATTTGATATTTTATGACATGCTTGTTGAAAAATACTTTTATGTTTCTATTTGATATTTTATGACATGCTTGTTGAAAAATACTTTTATGTTTCTATTTGATATTTTATGACATGCTTGTTGAAAAATACTTTTATGTTTCTATTTGATATTTTATGACATGCTTGTTGAAAAATACTTTTATGTTTCTATTTGATATTTTATGACATGCTTGTTGAAAAATACTTTTATGTTTCTATTTGATATTTTATGACATGCTTGTTGAAAAATACTTTTATGTTTCTATTTGATATTTTATGACATGCTTGTTGAAAAATACTTTAATGTTTCTAGCAGTACTTGTTAAAAATAAAATTTCTCATAAAATCAACCAATGTCAGCTACAAAGTGCAAACATTTCTCTGCAGCTGGGGTGTATCACTTCTCGTATCAACACAAACACCAAATATTTCTTTTTGGTCACCTATAGACCTAGTAGAAATAAATTCTTTTTAATAGTGCAGAAATGTGAATCCGCTTGGTTTTTTTTTCAGAGAGAAAAAAACAGCTCTCAATAAACACTGTAGTGTAGCAATAGGTGATATCAGACCAGATTAATTTTAATGGCTGCTTCATCCCACTGTTGTTTTCCAACAAAGCTTGGCTATTTAATCAAACTTTCTTCTGGTTTGATAGCAGACTCTGGAGCTTTGGTCAGACTTGAAAGATTTTAAAGCTTTCTTCTCTGGGAAGTTTTAAAATTTAACTCTCTTCTCTGGGAAATTTTAAAATCTAACTTTGATCTCATTTAATCAGGAGCCTCTGGAACCTTCGTCAGCCTGGGTAGTTTTAAACAAAGCCTCCAGTACAACCCAGTGAGCGACTCCCTACAGCTGAACTACACAGGGGGCAGCGCTGGGGATAGCTGTGAGCGCCACACCCTGGTCAGCCTGTACTGTGCCACCAAGGGTAAGTTGCTTGTGGGTGTGAGAGTCCAATGTTGTCCAGTGTAGTAGCCTTGAGTTAAGAAGGCTAACACTCTGTAAATTGTGCTAGACTATTTCCACACAGGTAAGGCTGAGACCTCACCCAGACTGGTGCACAAGTCAGCAGACGATTGCTTCTTTGAGATTGAGTGGTACACTTTACAGGCGTGTGAGAAGATACACAAAGAGGGAGACCTTTGTCGGGTCCCGTACGATAGTGCAGGTGTGTCTTGTTTTCATTAGATTTCACTCATCTCATGTAGAGATTAGAACAATAATGATCTTGTTATGTGGAGCTATTTACAGAGACTCTACAATTTTCTTCATTTTGTCTCAATTTTTTCATAAGTCAAATTTTTCAGTCATACCTTCTCTGATAATTTTCATTTAAATTTTTTTTATTTTCAAAAACATGTTTTAAAATTTAATGCTGTACAATAAAGTGTCTCTAGAGCCCAGTCAGTTGGCTTTTCATGTAATAAATAAATTTCTGTTTGATTCCTGACGCAGGTCATTTTTTTGACCTGAACCCACTGAGACTGGAGAAGGGGGGCTATGAGGTGAAGGCTGAGGGCTACACCTACTACATCAATGTGTGCGGCCAGGTACAGCATGACAAGTACTGCAACAAACCCCCTCACAATAACGCATCAGTCTGCCAAGTTAAGACTGACGGAACAAGGCAAGTACATCTCACAAACCCCCTCACACAGTAAATAAATGCAACAAACCCCCTCACAATAACGCATCCGTCTGCCAAGTTAAGACTGACGGAACAAGGCAAGTACATCTCACAAACCCCCTCACACAGTAAATAAATGCAACAAACCCCCTCACACAGTAAATGAACGCAACAAACCCCCTCACAATAACAAATATGTCTGCTGTTAAACTAAAAGTGATGAAACAAATTAAAATATGTCACAAATCTTCACACACAGGAAATCTCACAAACCTCCCTAAACACGGGAAATAAATTTAACACCCCCCCCCTCACATCTGCCATTATTAGTTTTAACCTCTCATTCACATTAGTTTAAATTTGATATCTGTAAGGTAATTCAATAGGTATCAATGATTAAAAATAGTATATATTTTAAATTAGGTAATTTGTTTACACATCTGTACAGGGTAATCTAGTTTAGACCTTAAGTTTGATCATCGTTACAATACCTTTATGAACTGTTTACCTGTTTGTTCCCTCTCCCAGCACTGTGGACATCAAAGTGTCAGAGCCGTCCACCAAACTCCAGTTTTATGATGGTGTCACCAGTTTGTTGTACACCAATGGTGAGCCGTACAACAACCCTAACAAAACTCGCAGGATGGCCCTCATTTCTTTTGTCTGCGACACAACTGAAGAGATAGGTCACCCAGAATTTTCCATGGAAAACAATTATACGTATCAGTTTATCTGGAGGACAAGCTACGTGTGTAAAACAGCTGCCACAGAGTGTGGTGTTGTCGATGGACAGACACATGAACAGTATGACCTGTCCAGGTATGGCATATGTTTACACAGCAGTTGTGGTGTCGAGAAGTGTTTCAGTGTTTTCTTTTATCCTGTGTAGTTATTGACTTGTTTTCCTTCATATAAATCTTGTGTTATGTGTTAACCATAAAGGCTGCTGTCATAAATCTTGTGTGTGTTGTAAAATCTTTAACCCTTTCAACTATAATGAATTTGAATTAGAAAGGATTAATCTTTTGTGCTTTTTTTTTAATTTAAAAAAAAAATTAATTCTGTTGTTTCTTTTTGCATTACTTTTTTTTAAACTAAAACTTGGTTTTACATTAATAACTTATTTAGTTGAGATTTTTTCCCTAACTCTTTCAATTTGTTTTTTTTTTTCAACTTACTAGAGAACAGTTACTCTTTTATTTTAATTAAAACTGTTGTTTATCAATGCAGTCATTGATAAATAAATTTATCTGCATAACGCATGAATTGAAACAAATGTTTTTTGTTTTGTTGAATCAGCCTCTCCAAGTTACGTGGCAGCTGGGAGGTAGAAAACAGTGAAGATCCTGACAAAAAGCAGAAGTTTTACATTAATGTCTGTGAATCTCTGGACTTTACAAGTGGCCCAAGGTGTAGCCCATATGCATCTGCCTGTGTTACAAGCATCGACAAAGATGGCAAGGTCATACTATGCTCTTTTTTTAAAAAATTCAATCAAAACAAATTAACAAATTTTACATTTTCTATGTTCTTCACTATTTTAGTCATTATCAGTCTGTTCTGTTTGTTTTCAGGAAACATTGCTGCATGCGAACGTTGGTAAATTTGAGTTGCCTCCCATGATCGAGAAATCCATCCATGGCGTGAAGCTGGTCTACACTAATGGCAACACTTGCACAGACGACACAGGGAAAGATAACAGATTTAACACCACTATACACTTCGCTTGTGTGGCTGGAAAAGTGGTAGGTCAAGTGGGCTGCAATTTGGTTTCTTAGGCTGTGTTGATAGAATCAAATTCCTGGTTGGGGGCTCCACTTAACCACAACTGGTCAGTCTGTGTGAGTGGGCTAACTTTATACTGTCAGGTTGGGGGCCCAACTTCCCCACAACTGGTCAGTCCGTGTGAGTGGGCTAACTTTATACTGTCAGGTTGGGGGCCCCACTTCCCCACAACTGGTCAGTCTGTGTGAGTGGGCTAACTTTATAATTTCAGGTTGGGGGCCCCACCTCTCCACAACTGGTCAGTCTGTGTGAGTGGGCTAACTTTATGATTTCAGGTTGGGGGCCCCACTTCCCCACAAACTGGTCAGTCCGTGTGAGTGGGCTAACTTTATACTTTCAGGTTGGGGGCCCAACTTCCCCACAACTGGTCAGTCCGTGTGAGTACTCCATCCTGTGGGAAACAGAGGCTGCATGTCCGGTTGATGAGGTCAAGACAAAAGACAACAACATATCTGCGTGTACAGTGCTTGACCCACACTCAGGGTTCCAGTTTAACCTTTCACCTCTGGCCAGGGACAAAGGCTACAGTGTGAAGGCTCCAGATGGCTCTAAATCTTACCTGGTTTGTTTCTTGTGTTTAAGGAAGATACAACTAAAATTATTTAACTGAAAAAAATATTCCTCTAACTATCTAGTAACTTGATTGATTTCATCATTAGAAAATACTATTCAGCATTTGACAAAAAAAATTATTTTTACACCAAAGTTAAGCTACCTAGGGGACTATTCTTTGCTAAGCCAGAAATAAAACTACAAGGAACAGATCTAGAGAAATGTGACTTGACCTTGGACTTAACTGTATGATTCTTCTTTCAGGTGAACTTGTGCGACAGCCTACCTGAGACTGCGTGTGGGATGTTTGATAATAAATTCCATACAGCTGTTTGTGAAATCCAACTTGCTGGTAATAGAACAGTAGCCAAGTTCAGTACAGATCTGACATATTCTAGTGATGGGGAGATCACTCTCACTTACACTGGACATTTTAACAAGAGTAAGCCAGTTGTCAACACTGTTACATATATTTAACATTTGACATGATTAACATTTAGAATCAAGTGTAACAAGTAACTCAACTAGTTTTGAAATCAATGAAAGTCTGTTGCTAACAGAAAATTTTATCGTCATTATAAATTTAAACATTGTCAACTGAAAATTACAAGTCCCAGTAAACTTTTGTATTCATCAATTTTTTTCGTGCATTATTCTTTCACAGTGAAGACTGCCAATATTCCAGTTAACTTTAGTCTCACATAAATTATTTATCACAGTCTTACTTCTTCTTTGTTCTTAATTGAAATGTTAGATGGAATTTCCTCCACTCCAACACAATTAGGTATCACATCCAAGAACAAACTACAAGGGAGCTTTTTCTCCTAGATGGGTTGCTGTCCCCAACTATCAAGCCTCATTTGCCTGGGGTTCAAACCCAGGACTTATCGATTTAGCAACCATGAGCTTTACAGATTTCAGTTTTTTTTTTATCTACATGTTTGTGTAAACTTGTTCTATAGTTTTCCTTGCTGTCACCATTTTCCCACCTTTCTCATTCTCTTGAACCATCAAAATTTAACTTACCCTGCAGATCTGAGATTTTCTACTAGGCTAAATACTTAAAAAATACATATTCTTTAGCTAGAAAATAAATTCTACATTAAATATTATAAGAAGGTTTTTAAATGTTTTCCCAGGCAATTACAAGAAGTACGAGTTTAAATTTATCTGCGACAGAAAAGCTCAGGAGGCCACAGTTTCATTCCATGAGCAGCAAGGCCTGTACACAACCTTCACCATCAGCACTGCCCTGGCCTGTGCCCCCCAGCCAGTCAGCTGTACTGTACAGGATGCCAATGGGAGGCAATACGACTTAACTCCCCTGGCCAGGGAAACTGGAAACTATGTCGTCATAGACACCAGACCCAACCACGATGACCTCCAGTACCACATCAATGTGTGTCGGCCGGTCAACCCCACACCTGAGATGACATGCCCAGGTAAATATGGCCTCACATAAACCATTTTAAGTACCTTGGCATCAAGTTAGAACCAGCCTGTTCAACCATTGGACAAATAGTTTAAAATTTCTCAAATTATTTTTTACTTGTAAATTTCATGTCTTCTAGCTGCTTTTAAATGTTGTCTGCCAGAAGTTGACCTGTCTAAATGTCTGCCAGAAGTTGACCTGTCTAAATGTCTGCCATAAGTTGACCTGTCTAAATGTTGTCTGCCAGAAGTTGACCTGTCTAAAAGTTGTCTGCCATAAGTTGACTTGTCTAAATGTTGTCTGCCAGAAGTTGACCTGTCTAAATGTTGTCTGCCATAAGTTGACCTGTCTAAATGGTGTCTGCCAGAAGTTGACCTGTCTAAATGTTGTCTGCCATAAGTTGACCTGTCTAAATGTTGTCTGCCAGAAGTTGACCTGTCTAAATGTTGTCTGCCACAGGTGGGTCAGTGGGAGCTTGTCAGACCAGCAAGACGAAGGCTGGCAGCTTCAGCCTGGGCTATGTCCAGTCTGAGCCAGTGGTCTCCAGCACCAGTGAAGCCATCACGCTTCGTTATGAGGGCGGGCAGAAGTGTCACACTGGCACAGACAACGAGGCGTATCGTTCAACCAGGATCCACTTCTACTGCGACCCTGTAGAGGTACTTTCTAGTTAATGTTGTCTAGCCTGAACTGTTGATACAGGCAAAATCTACTTCACCTGCGCTATTTTAGGCCGGAAATGTAACGTTTTGAATTCAGATATTAAAAACACCATTTTAAATTTACTTAAAATATTAAAGAAAAGAGGGCCATATTGAAATTTTAGACTTTTTAATGTCTTTTTTATCAAATAATTATGTTTATCACAAGTCTTGTGCAAACTGGGTTTTTTTTTTTATATTTTTCTCTAGAGAATATTGGATGGTTGAACAAAATTGTGTACACTGTTGTTTTATTGTAGTTTGTTCATATAAAGCTCCAACCATGATAATCCAATCACTGGAGTCAGCTTGTAGCTTAGAGCAAGTTTCATGTGATATGGTGTCGTGATGATGAGTTCAATATTTTAGCAAGTTTCATGTTCTACAAGTGATAAGGTGTCGTGATGATGAGTTCAATATTTTAGCAAGTTTCATGTTCTACATGTGATAAGGTGTCGTGATGATGAGTTCAATATTTTAGCAAGTGTCATGTTCTACATGTGATAAGGTGTCATGATGATGAGTTCAATATTTTAGCAAGTTTCATGCTCTACATGTGATAAGGTGTCGTGATGATGAGTTCAATATTTTAGCACGTTTCATGTTCTACATGTGATAAAGTGTCATGATGATGAGTTCAATATTTTAGCAAGTTTCATGTTCTATGTCTGATGAGATTTCTTCATGATGAGTTCAATATTTTCTATTCAACCACTGCTGATTACTCTCCACATGATGAGTTCAATATTTTCCATTCAACCACTGCTGATTACTCTCCACATGATGTGTTTAATATTTTCTATTCAACCACTGCTGATTATTTCCCCCATGATGAGTTCAATATTTTCTATTCAACCACTGCTGATTATTTCCCCCATGATGAGTTCAATATTTTCTATTCAACCACTGCTGATTACTTTCCCCATGATGAGTTCAATATTTTATTAAGTTTCATGTTCTATGTCTGATGAGATTTCTTCATGATGAGTTCAATATTTTCTATTCAACCACTGCTGATTACTTTCCCCATGATGAGTTCAATATTTTCTATTCAACCACTGCTGATTATTTCCCCCATGAGGAGTTCAATATTTTCTATTCAACCACTGCTGATTACTTTACCCATGATGAGTTCAATATTTTCTATTCAACCACTGCTGATTACTTTCCCCATGATGAGTTCAATATTTTCTATTCAACCACTGCTGATTACTTTCCACATGATGAGTTCAATACTTTCTATTCAACCACTGCTGATTACTTTCCCCATGATGAGTTCAATATTTTATTAAGTTTCATGTTCTATGTCTGATGAGATTTCTTCCTGATGAGTTTAATATTTTCTATTCAACCACTGCTGATTACTCTCCACATGATGAGTACAATAATTTCTATTCAACCACTGCTGATTACTCTTCACATGATGAGTTTAATATTTTCTATTCAACCACTGCTGATTACTCTCCACATGATGAGTTCAATACTTTCTATTCAACCACTGCTGATTACTCTCCACATGATGAGTTCAATAATTTCTATTCAACCACTGCTGATTACTCTCCACAGCACAACCCTGTGTTTGAAGCAGAGAGTGACACCTGTGAATATTCTTTTATCTGGAAAACTCCAAGTGCTTGTCCCCAACAGGTAAGTTTAAAAGATGAAGCACCCAACTAAAATCTGATGTCATATGTTTGCAGCCTACCTGTACATATTGTGGCCATATATCTCACCATTATTACAGATCAATTTAATTTTACCTAGTGTTTAGTATAAATTGGATGGTGTGGTCGAATGGTATAGCTCACGACTGTTTGTAAATCAATTAATTCATCAAACTTGATATTTCAGCTTGCCCTAGGGTCTGACTGTAAGGTGACTGACTCCCTCTACAACTACGAGTTTGATCTGAACCCCCTGCGTAAGGTGTCAGGGAACTACATTGTGCAGACAGATCAGTACAGCTTCCACATCAACCTGTGTGGCCCTCTGGTGGGCGCTGATGACATCTGTAAATCTTCACAGGCGGCTGCTTGTCAGACTGGCTCAACATTGCCTGCACCAAAACTGTTGGGTAGGTGGGGCTTGTCATACAGGTGGGTGGGTCTTGTCATACAGGTGGGTGGGGCTTGTCATACAGGTGGGTGGGGCTTGTCAGACAGGCTCAACATTGCCTGCACCAAAACTTTTAGGTAGGTGGGGGCTTGTCATACAGGTGGGTGGGGCTTGTCATACAGGTGTGTGGGGCTTGTCATACAGGTGGGTGGGGCTTGTCAGACAGGCTCAACATTGCCTGCACCAAAACTTTTAGGTAGGTGGGGGCTTGTCATACAGGTGGGTGGGGCTTGTCATACAGGTGTGTGGGGCTTGTCATACAGGTGGGTGGGGCATGTTGCAAAGTTGGTGGAGCTTGTCAGACTGGCTAAACATTAACTTAATCAAAACTGTTAGGTAGGTGGGACTTGTCATACAGGTGGGCGTAGATTGTCAGGTAGGCTCAACCTTGCCTTCACCACATCAGTTCGGTAGGTGGAGCTTGTCAGAGAAGCTTAATATTGTCATTACAAAAACAATAAGGTAGGCAAGGCTTGTTTTGGGTAGTTTATTAAAATAATAGATTAATTAAAAAATAATAGAACACATTTTTCTACAATTTGTCTTAAAGTTACAGGTTTTAATTTTTTATAGAAACATGTGGATTGTCAACTGAAATTCACAAGTCCATGATGCTGTTATGGGCTCAAAACAATTATTGTTAGATTACCAATCTGATGTTCATCCACCCCCTCCCCTTCTCCTCAGGTGTTGCCAACAGCCAACCTAGGTATGAAAGTGGCCAGATTTCTGTCATCTACACTGATGGAGCTGGCAACTGCCATGGCAAGTACAACAGATCCACCACGATACAGTTTATCTGTGACCACGGCCAAACTGGCGCTGATGGGCCCCAGTACCTGGAGGAGAACTCTGTCTGCTCTTACAGGTTTGAGTGGCGCACCAAAGTTGCCTGCCCCCCACACCAGGTGATACAGTGCACCTATCAGCAGGGCCAGGACACGTATGACCTGTCCAGGTTGTCCTTGGCCAGTGATAATTACATGAGAGAGTACAAAGATTCCAACAAGATTTATATCATCAACGTATGTCGTTCTCTGGTGCACAAAAAAGGTGGGTTTTACTTCCACTTTGCTGGCATATGCTTAAATTTTTTTTTTCATTATAAGAAATTTTTTATTTTTTTTGTATTTATATTTTTGTATGACCATAATTATCACTGTTAGTGTTCAGTTCAGCTAAAATGTTATGAAAACATTCACCAGAGGCTTAACTAATTACTATTTTTTATAAAGTATTTTAAATTTCTAACTAATTATTATTTTTATTAAGTATTTTAAATTTCTAACTAATTATTATTTTTTATAAACTATTTTAAATTTCTAACTAATTATTATTTTTTATAAAGTATTTTAAATTTCTAACTAATTATATTCTTGTTTCACCAGATCAAACTTGCCCGTTTAATGCTGCTGCGTGTATGATAGACTTATCAGAGTCTGATCCTAAGAAAAGGTAACTACCACTTACAGTACTTACAGCCTTGCAACCTACCAGTTTACATTTAACTTGCCTCTTCTCTGTTGTAGTTTTATTTTTTGAATCTTCATTTAGCAAAAAAAAAAATCTCTCAAAGATAGAAGAAACTTTTAGTATTACTATATGCCTGGTCCTCCAGGTTGGGGGTTGAAACATAAGGCTAGCAACCTTATCTTGTAAAAAATATACCGCTACAGAAACTGCAAGTACACAAATCCAACATAAACTTGGTCGAGTAGGTTCCTCTATTAAGGGAGCAGCCCAAAAGCGAGTCCGCTGGAAATGTGTAGTTGCAGCCCTTTGCTCCCCAGGGGCCACAAAGGAATGATGATATGCTTTTAGACTTGTATAAAACCATCTTTTGTTTGACATAGCAATGTAGAGAATAAGTTTTGTTTGACAGATACCACAGTATAGGGGAGGTAACCAACCAGTCTTTCTCCCTGGATCATGAAACCTTAATCCTGAGGTATGACAACGGGGAATTGTGCGGCAAAGGAAGAAGGTCCACATCCATCTTGTTCAAGTGTAATGAGAATACTGATGGGGTAAGTGGAGGCAAAATCTAACAGTCAGACAAACTAACAGACAAACAAAAATAACAGACAGACAAAGGTAGAAGGTCCACATCCATCTTGTTCAAGTGTAATGAGAATACTGATGGGGTAAGTGGAGACATACTTCAACATACGGACAAACTGACAGACAGACAAACTAACAGACAGACAAAGGAAGAAGGTCCACATCCATCTTGTTCAAGTGTAATGAGAATACTGATGGGGTAAGTGGAGACATACTTTAACAGATGGACAAACTGACAAACTAACAGACAAACTAACAGACTTGATTGTTAATGAGATTTCTATTAATTATGTTAATCATGCAGTCAGGTATTCAGTGATTGGATTAATCTCTTTAACCTCTAACCTTTCAGCTAGGTAATCAGTACTTAGGTTAATCTATTTAACTAACCTCACAGTTAGGTATATTTAACCTCTAACCCTACAGCTAGGTATTCAGTAATTAGGTTAATCTCTTTAACCTCTAACCTTACAGCTAGGTGTACCCAGCAACCATTTTGAAGTGAACGGGTGTGAGGATAACTTTGTCTGGGAGTCGAGCGCAGCCTGTCCACTCAAGAAGCTGGCAGAAGACAACAGCACTCAGGGCTTTGGGGACTGTAGGGCTACCAATCCTAACACAGGTAACTACATGATTGTAAGCCACCAATCACAGGTAACTACATGATTGTAAGCCACCAATCATAACACAGGTAACTACATGATTGTAAGCCACCAATCTTAACAATAGGTAACTACATGATTGTAAGCCACCAATCTTAACACAGGTAACTACATGATTGTAAGCCACCAATCCTAACACAGGTAACTATGATTGTAAGCCACCAATCTTAACACAGGTAACTGCATGATTGTAAGCCACCAATCCTAAAACAGGATTGTAGAGCTACCTGTCCTAACAGGCAATGGCATGATTGTAAGTACAATCGTAACATGGTTGAACACAATAGTTGTGTGATTGCCAATCTTTACACAGTTAACAATCATGTTTGGCTAGCAACTATATAACAGCCAATGCTTTGATTATGGGTTTGTTTACCCAGGGTGCAGTATCATGACCATATTTATCTTTTTGTCCACAGGCTATGTGTTTGATCTGAGCAGTTTAAAATCAACTGCTGGCTATTCAACCACTGACAGAGAGGGTCATGAGCTGAAACTGAATGTGTGTGGTTGGTTGAACAACAGTCCATGCATCAATGGCACAGGTTAGATTTTGTTTCATCAAGCTGTTTGTGTGGTTGGTTGAACAACAGTCCATGCATCAATGGCACAGGTTAGATTTTGTTTCATCAAGCTGTTTGTGTGGTTGGTTGAACAACAGTCCATGCATCAATGGCACAGGTTAGATTTTGTTTCATCAAGCTGTTTGTTACACTCAAGAAGTACATCCTTATATAGGCTTGGTTGCTTCTATGTGTTCTTTTATTTTATAAATCATTAGAAATTGTAGTTATTTTTTGGAATTATTCTTCTTCAATTTTTTCAATAAACTTGAAGTTTTTAAATGTATGTTAAGGGAAGTTTGATTTTCTGGCTGACATCCAGCACATGTTGATAGAAAACTAGTTTGTTCAAGCTTTCTTTCAACAGCACAGTTTAGATTATTGATGAGAGATTTTTAAATTTCTTTAAGGTTTTTATTTAGTTCATGAAATATATTTTAAATTTCTTTAAGGTGTTTGTTTAGTTCATGAAATATTTTTACTTTCTTTAAGGTGTTTGTTTAGTTCATGAAAAATATTTTAAATTTCTTTAAGGTGTTTGTTTAGTTCATGAAATATATTTTTTAATTTCTTTAAGGTGTTTGTTTAGTTCATAAAATATATTTTAAATTTCTTTAAGGTGTTTGTTTAGTTCATGAAATATATTTTAAATTTCTTTAAGGTGTTTGTTTAGTTCATGAAATATATTTTAAATTTCTTTAAGGTGTTTGTTTAGTTCATGAAAAATATTTTAAATTTCTTTAATGTGTTTGTTTAGTTCATGAAAAATATTTTAAATTTCTTTAAGGTGTTTGTTTAGTTCATGAAAAATATTTTAAATTTCTTTAAGGTGTTTGTTTAGTTCATGAAATATATTTTAAATTTCTTTAAGGTGTTTGTTTAGTTCATGAAATATATTTTAAATTTCTTTAAGGTGTTTGTTTAGTTCATGAAATATATTTTAAATTTCTTTAAGGTGTTTGTTTAGTTCATGAAATATATTTTAAATTTCTTTAAGGTGTTTGTTTAGTTTATGAAATATATTTTAAATTTCTTTAAGGTGTTTGTTTAGTTTATGAAATATATTTTAAATTTCTTTAAGGTGTTTGTTTAGTTCATGAAATATATTTTAAATTTCTTTAAGGTGTTTGTTTAGTTTATGAAATATATTTTAAATTTCTTTAAGGTGTTTGTTTAGTTCATGAAAAATATTTTAAATTTCTTTAAGTTGTTTATTTAGTTCATGAAATATATTTTAAATTTCTTTAAGGTGTTTGTTTAGTTCATGAAATATATTTTAAATTTCTTTAAGGTGTTTGTTTAGTTCATGAAATATATTTTAAATTTCTTTAAGGTGTTTGTTTAGTTCATGAAATATATTTTAAATTTCTTTAACGTGTTTGTTTAGTTCATGAAATATATTTTTAATTTCTTTAAGGTGTTTGTTTAGTTCATAAAATATATTTTTAATTTCTTTAAAGTGTTTGTTTAGTCCATGAAATATATTTTAAATTTCTTTAAGGTGTTTGTTTAGTTCATGAAATATATTTTAAATTTCTTTAAGGTGTTTTTTTAGTTCATGAAATATATTTTTAATTTCTTTAAGGTGTTTGTTTAGTTCATGAAATATATTTTAAATTTCTTTAAGGTGTTTCTTTAGTTCATAAAATATATTTTTACTTTCTTTCAGGTGTTTGTTTAATTGACCAAACCTTGGCCAGAACATCGGTCAGTGCTGGCGTTGCAAATGGTCGGCTGCTGTATAGAGATGTGGGGCTTACCTTGGTGTATGGAAGTGGTGACCTCTGCTCATCCAAGGTGCCAAGGATGACCTACATCAGCTTTATTTGTAATCCTGATGCAGGCAAGGGCGTGCCAGTCTTCGTAGACAAGTCAGATGATTGCATCTTTCACCTGGACTGGCACACCAACCTGGTTTGTGAAACTGAGGTGAGTTGGGGTGTCAATGTTGGTGTCAGATGCTGAGGGGAGTTGGGGTGTCAATGTTGGTGTCAGATGCTGAGTGGAGTTGGGGTGTCAATGTTGGTGTCAGATGCTGAGGGGAGTTGGGGTGTCAGTTCTGAGGGGAGTTGGGGTGTCAGTGTTGAGGGGAGTTGGGGTGTCAGTTCTGAGGGGAGTTGGGGTGTCAGTGCTGAGGGGAGTTGGGGTGTCAGTGCTGAGGGGAGTTGGGGTGTCAGTGCTGAGGGGAGTTGGGGTGTCAGTTCTGAGGGGAGTTGGGGTGTCAGTTCTGAGGGGAGTTGGGGTGTCAGTTCTGAGGGGAGTTGGGGTGTCAGTGTTGGTATCAGATGTTGAGGGGAGTTGGGGTGTCAGTTCTGAGGGGAGTTGGGGTGTCAGTGCTGGGGGGAGGTGGGGTGTCAGTGCTGAGGGGAGTTGGGGTGTCAGTGTTGGTATCAGATGTTGAGGGGAGTTGGGGTGTCAGTGCTGAGGGGAGTTGGGGTGTCAGTGTTGGTATCAGATGTTGAGGGGAGTTGGGGTGTCAGTGCTGAGGGGAGTTGGGGTGTCAGTGTTGGTATCAGATGTTGAGGGGAGTTGGGGTGTCAGTGCTGAGGGGGTTGGGGTGTCAGTGTTGGTATCAGATGTTGAGGGGAGTTGGGGTGTCAGTGTTGGTATCAGATGTTGAGGGGAGTTGGGCTGCTAAGTAGAGATTTGTAAGATATTTGTTTCTTCTGTAAATGTTGAGATTTTACTGAATAGTATATCTAATTACTCTGCTGCACCAGGTGAAATGTGAGGTGACCACTGACACTGGCTACACACTGGACTTCTCCTCGCTGATCCTCAAAACTGGTCAGTACAGTGTCATTCCTGATGATGTGGGGAGCCACTACCCCTCAGGGTTAATCTACATCAACCTGTGCCGACCTTTGAACCCAATCTTTGGGACACTGTGCCCCCCAGGGTCAGGGGCATGTCTGGACAGATCCAACAACCCCCCACTGGTTAGTATTGACTGGTTTGTTCCCTCCACTGCCTCATCTTCTGTTCAGTTTTACTTTTTAAGTCTTTTCCACCAGTACATTTTGCAAATATTTACTTTCATGGTTTAAATTCTACTTATTTCTGTCTCAAAATATCAGGTGTTAAAACATATTGATTTCTGTTGTTTTAAAAAATGACATTTAGTTTAAAACTAAACATTATACCTTTTGAGTGCCTGGAAATTTGCTTGGGTTGTTTCCCCTCTGATGACCTGAATTGAGTTAGCACATTACCCCTATTACAGAGTCTGGGTCGAGTTAGCCAAGGGCCAGTATACGATAAGGCCACCAAGGAAGTGAAGCTGACCTACACCAATGGAGATGAGTGTCCTTTTGATAGCAAGTACAATGCCAGCTCCCTCATCATTCTCAAGTGTGGATCATCTCCTGACCTGGTGAGTAGGAGTTGTTTCCCTCTAAATTAGTGGGGAGTAGGAGTTGTTTCCCTCTAAATTAGTGGGGAGTAGGAGTTGTTTCCCTCTAAATTAGTGGGGAGTAGGAGTTGTTTCCCTCTAAATTAGTGGTGAGTAGGAGTTGTTTCCCTCTAAATTAGTGGGGAGTAGGAGTTGTTTCCCTCTAAATTAGTGGTGAGTAGGAGTTGTTTCCCTCCATTTTCTAAATTAGTGGTGAGACCAGTGATCTTCAGTACAAAGGCCAGCCTGCTGTTATATTCAGTTCATCACATTGTATGGAGTTAGTCAGATAAATAAAGTAGTTATGGCTGGTGTATAAAACTTATTTTCAGACATGTTGTGCTAGTGTTGTGTGTTCTGTCACCATGAAATGATCTCTTGTACACCTAAAGTTTCTGACAATGTGTACATCTGTCACCAGGCTCCAGAACTTGAAGAAGTCTCCAGCAGCTGCCAGTACCTGTTCATGTGGAAGACACCCCTGGCCTGCGCTGATCTGACATCCCAGAAACTGGGACCAGATTGTTCGTACACCGACCACAAAACCAGGACTAAATACAGCCTGTCATCTCTGCATGACACGTACACTGTAAGTGGCAGGGGTTATGTCATCTGTATGACACATACAGGCTGGGGATATGTCATCTGACACATACACTGTAAGTGGCTGGGGATATGCCATCTGTATGACACATACACTGTAAGTGGCTGGGGATATGTCATCTGTATGACACATACACTGTAAGTGGCTGGGGATATGTCATCTCTACATGACACATACACTATGTCATCTGTATGACACATACACTGTAAGTGGCTGGGGATGTGTCATCTGTATGACACATACACTGTAAGTGGCTGGGGATATGTCATCTGTATGACACATACACTGTAAGTGGCTGGGGATATGTCATCTCTACATGACACATACACTATGTCATCTGTATGACACATACACTGTAAGTGGCTGGGGATATGTCATCTGTATGACACATACACTGTAAGTGGCTGGGGATATGTCATCTGTATGACACATACACTGTAAGTGGCTGGGGATATGTCATCTGTATGACACATACACTGTAAGTGGCTGGGGATATGTCATCTCTACATGACACATACACTATGTCATCTGTATGACACATACACTGTAAGTGGCTGGGGATATGTCATCTGTATGACACATACACTGTAAGTGGCTGGGGATATGTCATCTGTATGACACATACACTGTAAGTGGCTGGGGATATGTCATCTGTATGACGCATACACTGTCAGTGGCTGGGGATATGTCATCTGTATGACACATACACTGTAAGTGGCTGGGGATATGTCATCTGTATGACACATACACTGTAAGTGGCTGGGGATATGTCACATTGTGTTTATCCAAGATTTCTTGCAAACAGTTTTTAAATATATTACAAACTGGTGCTGAAGCCTGTCCACACAAGTTAGTTAAGAAAACTGATGTAGAACTTCTTCACTCTGGCATGTCTTGCATTAAGCTAGTGAGAAAAGTCATCTTGACACCAACAGGTGAAACCTACTTCCCCCACACTTACTTGAGCCCTGTGTTGTTCCCAGGTCCAGTCATCTCACGGCGGTACATTCAGCATTAAACCTTGTGGTCAGTTGGAGGAGAAGGGTGAGCAGGGGGAAGCCTCGTGTGCCCAGTCAGCTGTTTGTCTGAGAGGTACAGCTGTTAGAGATGGGTCCTATGGAGATTCTTCACTGGGGCTCTTTCAGAAAGATGACAGCTATGTAGGACTCAGCTTCTCGGGAGGACGAAAATGTCCTTCAGGTGAGCAGGACATTCCCAGTTGACTAAGCTTAGATAGGAAATTGTTTTTTCTCTTGCTTAACCTTGACCTTCATTGTTCCACTCTAGGGTCCAAAGCATCATCTGCAATTTTTTTCCAGTGTGATAGAACGGCAGGCAGTGGTCAGCCCAAGTTATTCAAAGATGTAAGTTTCTGTTGGTCAAGTTTGTGTGTTGGTCAACTCTGGGTCTAGTGTGTGAGTGTTGGTCAACTCTGGGTCTAGTGTGTGAGTGTTGGTCAACTCTAGGTCTAGTGTGTGAGTGTTGGTCAACTCTGAGTCTAGTGTGTGTGCTGGTCAACTGTGGGTCTAGTGTGTGTGTTGGTCAACTCTGGGTCCAGTGTGTGTGTTGGTCAACTCTGGGTCTAGTGTGTGTGTGTGTGTTGGTCAACTCTGGGTCTAGTGTCACACATTAGGTGGGGCTTTTGTAGTGATGTAGTTGAATAAAAAATAATGCAATAAGTAAAAGTAAAAAAATCCTCTTTAGATCTACCGATTCATTGAGCATATGAAGTAGAGTTCATGACTTGAAGGGAAGGCGTGTTCAGCCAGCTTTACTTCCTCTAAGTTAAGTACCCATCAGAACTGGGTGGACTCATGGATGTTGTGCTGGCTTGGACCTGGATTTGAACTCAAGAGTTTTGGGTTAACAGTCTAGCACTCTACAGCTTAGGCCACACAATCCTAGGTTGTGTAATACAGGAAACAATAATGTGATTCTCTAATACAGGCACAATAATGTGATTCTCTAATACAGGCACAATAATGTGATTCTCTAATACAGGCACAATAATGTGATTCTCTAATACAGTCACAATAACGTGATTCTCTACACCCTCTAGGACACTGACTGCCAAGCCACATTTTTATGGTTGACTGACCTAGTGTGTCCAGCAGAGAAGAAAGAGTGCCACATCGCTTCCAGGGGTCAGCTGTATGACTTCACATTTTTATCTCAGGACAAGAGCAGCTGGAGCTTTACTGACCACTCAAACACAAAGTAAGTGGGTACTGCTCACACATTGGTTTACTGACCACACACAGTAAGTGGGTACTGCTCACACATTGGTTTACTGACCACACACAAAGTAAGTGGGTACTGCTCACACATTGGTTTACTGACCAAACACAAAGTAAGTGGGTACTGCTCACACATTGGTTTACTGACCACACACAAAGTAAGTGGGTACTGCTCACACATTGGTTTACTGACCACACACAAAGTAAGTGGGTACTGCTCACACATTGGTTTACTGACCAAACACAAAGTAAGTGGGTACTGCTCACACATAGGTTTACTGACCACACACAGTAAGTGGGTACTGCTCACACATTGGTTTACTGACCAAACACAAAGTAAGTGGGTACTGCTCACACATTGGTTTACTGACCAAACACAAAGTAAGTGGGTACTGCTCACACATTGGTTTACTGACCAAACACAAAGTAAGTGGGTACTGCTCACACATTGGTTTACTGACCACACACAAAGTAAGTGGGTACTGCTCACACATTGGTTTACTGACCAAACACAAAGTAAGTGGGTACTGCTCACACATTGGTTAACTGACCACACACAGTAAGTGGGTACTGCTCACACATTGGTTTACTGACCAAACACAAAGTAAGTGGGTACTGCTCACACATTGGTTTACTGACCAAACACAAAGTAAGTGGGTACTGCTCACACATTGGTTTACTGACCAAACACAAAGTAAGTGGGTACTGCTCACACATTGGTTTACTGACCAAACACAAAGTAAGTGGGTACTGCTCACACATTGGTTTACTGACCACACACAGTAAGTGGGTACTGCTCACACATTGGTTTACTGACCAAACACAAAGTAAGTGGGTACTGCTCACACATTGGTTTACTGACCAAACACAAAGTAAGTGGGTACTGCTCACACATTGGTTTACTGACCAAACACAAAGTAAGTGGGTACTGCTCACACATTGGTTTACTGACCACACACAAAGTGGGTACTGCTCACACATTGGTTTACTGACCACACACAAAGTGGGTACTGCTCACACATTGGTTTACTGACCACACACAAAGTGGGTACTGCTTACACATTGGTTTACTGACCACACACAAAGTAAGTGGGTACTGCTCACACATTGGTTTACTGACCACTCAAACACAAAGTAAGTGGGTACTGCTCACACATTGGTTTACTGACCACACACAAAGTAAGTGGGTACTGCTCACACATTGGTTTACTGACCACTCAAACACAAAGTAAGTGGGTACTGCTCACACATTGGTTTACTGACACAAAGTAAGTGGGTACTGCTCACACATTGGTTTACTGACCAAACACAAAGTAAGTGGGTACTGCTCACACATTGGTTTACTGACCAAACACAAAGTAAGTGGGTACTGCTCACACATTGGTTTACTGACCACACACAAAGTGGGTACTGCTCACACATTGGTTTACTGACCACACACAAAGTGGGTACTGCTCACACATTGGTTTACTGACCACACACAAAGTGGGTACTGCTTACACATTGGTTTACTGACCACACACAAAGTAAGTGGGTACTGCTCACACATTGGTTTACTGACCACTCAAACACAAAGTAAGTGGGTACTGCTCACACATTGGTTTACTGACCACACACAAAGTAAGTGGGTACTGCTCACACATTGGTTTACTGACCACTCAAACATAAAGTAAGTGGGTACTGCTCACACATTGGTTTACTGACCAAACACAAAGTAAGTGGGTACTGCTCACACATTGGTTTACTGACCACACACAAAGTAAGTGGGTACTGCTCACACATTGGTTTACTGACCACACACAAAGTAAGTGGGTACTGCTCACACATTGGTTTACTGACCACACACAAAGTAAGTGGGTACTGCTCACACATTGGTTTACTGACCACACACAAAGTAAGTGGGTACTGCTCACACATAGGTTTACTGACCACTCAAACATAAAGTAAGTGGGTACTGCTCACACATTGGTTGACTGACACAAAGTAAGTGGGTAGTGCTCACATATTGGTTTACTGACCACACACAAAGTAAGTGGGTACTGCTCACACATTGGTTTACTAACCACACACAGTAAGTGGGTACTGCTCACACATTGGTTTACTGACCACACACAAAGTAAGTGGGTACTGCTCACACATTGGTTTACTGACCACACAAACACAAAGTAAGTGGGTACTGCTCACACATTGGTTTACTGACCACTCAAACACAAAGTAAGTGGGTACTGCTCACACATTGGTTTACTGACCACACACAGTAAGTGGGTACTGCTCACACATTGGTTTACTGACCACACACAGTAAGTGGGTACTGCTCACACATTGGTTTACTGACCACACACAAAGTAAGTGGGTACTGCTCACACATTGGTTTACTGACCACACACAAAGTAAGTGGGTACTGCTCACACATTGGTTTACTGACCACACACAGTAAGTGGGTACTGCTCACACATTGGTTTACTGACCACACACAAAGTAAGTGGGTACTGCTCACACATTGGTTTACTGACCACACACAGTAAGTGGGTACTGCTCACACATAGGTTTACTGACCAAACACAAAGTAAGTGGGTACTGCTTACACATTGGTTTACTGACCACTCAAACACAAAGTAAGTGGGTACTGCTCACACATTGGTTTACTGACCACATACAAAGTAAGTGGGTACTGCTCACACATTGGTTTACTGACCACTCAAACACAAAGTAAGTGGGTACTGCTCACACATTGGTTTACTGACCACTCAAACATAAAGTAAGTGGGTACTGCTCACACATTGGTTTACTGACCACACACAAAGTGGGTACTGCTCACACATTGGTTTACTGACCACACACAGTAAGTGGGTACTGCTCACACATTGGTTTACTGACCACACACAAAGTGGGTACTGCTTACACATTGGTTTACTGACCACACATAAAGTGGGTACTGCTCACACATTGGTTTACTGACCACTCAAACACAAAGTAAGTGGGTACTGCTCACACATTGGTTTACTGACCACACACAAAGTAAGTGGGTACTGCTCACACATTGGTTTACTGATTACTCTAGAATAGAATCATCAAATTTATCTGGTTGTAATGTATGTTACATAATGCCGCGTTAGTGTTTGTTACATCCCTTGTATCATGGTTACGTCCCTTGAGTCTTCACTGTGTCTTTCATGGTGTTTAGCTGATGTGTACCTGTTAGGAAATTAACCAATGGTAGAGTCAGAGACAGGAGACAGGACATATGGTCTGAGCTCGTGTATTTAAGAATAAAGTACTAGAGTTAACTCAAAGAACTGTGTCCATGTAAGTAATGTAACAATGTAGGCGCTGGTTGACTTTATATCTGGTTGTAATGTAGGTACTGGTTAAACTTGTGTCAGCCACTGCATGGAGAAGCCATAGTTGCTGGTTGTCCTAGCAACGCTGCTGTTTGCCGCAAGACATCCGACGGAAAAGTGGAGATGATGGGTCAACTAGACACTCAGCTGATTTCAGGTAAGTCATGGTCGGACTGGTACAAGTCATGGTCCGACTGGTACAAGTCATGGTCCGACTGGTACAAGTCATGGTCTGATGGCTTCAAGTAAGTCATGGTCCGACTGGTACAAGTCATGGTCCGACTGGTACAAGTCATGGTCCGACTGGTACAAGTCATGGTCTGATGGCTTCAAGTAAGTCATGGTCCGACTGGTACAAGTCATGGTCTGACTGGTACAAGTCATGGTCCGACTGGTACAAGTCATGGTCTGACTGGTACAAGTCATGGTCCGACTGGTACAAGTCATGGTCTGACTGGTACAAGTCATGGTCCGACTGGTACAAGTCATGGTCCGACTGGTACAAGTCATGGTCCGACTGGTACAAGTCATGGTCCGACTGGTACAAGACATGGTCCGACTGGTACAAGTCATGGTCTGACTGCCCCATGTAAGTCTGGTCTGTCTGCCACTCAACTAACTGTTTGCCTGATGAAACAACCTTCCACCATTCCAGTTGATGGCCAGATCTCCAACACGTCCATAGTCTTTAAGTACAGCAACGGGAACACCAACTTGTGCAGCTCCGGGGGCAGAAGACGGAGTGACATGACCCCCACCGTCAGCGTCAAGTTGATCTGTGGAAGTGTCCTAGGTTCACCAATCTTCAACCAGTACAGGTAGGGCTGTCAGTCTATGTGGTGGTCACAAGTAAAGTAGGGGTCACATGTATAAGTAGGGGTTATAAGTAGGGGTCATAAGTCTATCTAGACTGGTAATTATGTGTTTATCTAGCCCAGAGAAATGTATCAGAATTAAATGTGAATTAATTGTAAAATTACTCATCACATCCATTATTAATTAATTGTATAATTTCTCATCAAATCCATTATTAATTAATTGTAAAATTTCTCATCAAATCCTGTTGTAAATTGTAAAATTTCTCATCAAATCCATTATTAATTATTTGTAAAATTTCTCATCAAATACATTATTAATTAATTGTAAAATTTCTCATCAAATCCATTGTTAATTACTTTTAAAATTTCTCATTAAAACCAAATGTAAATGAATTATGTCATGTCTGATCCAGCCCAGAGACGTGTAACTTTGAGATAGTGTGGAAAACAAGGCTGGCATGTGCTGTAGACTTGTGAGTATTCTCATGTCTTGGTCATCTACTTTAATACTTTCAATTTATACTAGTCACAATTTATAATAATTTTTGTTCAAAATAATTTCACTTGAGATTTAATAAGTTGAACTTTATATAGTAAAAATTGTTTGATGAACCCATGCTGCAGTCATTGTATAATTAATAATTAATTTGTCCAGAAAAAAGTTGCGAGTCTTTGAAGAGAATGGTCTAGTGTATGACGTCAGGACTGGCCAAAGCTTTGACCTCAAGCCTTTACTTGCAGCTAACAAGTGGGTGGCAGCTTCTTGCTTTCTTCTAATCACTCGTGTCTAGGCTAGATATAGTCAGAAAAAATCAGAGAGCACCAAGCATCTATTTTATAAACATGGAACTTTTACTTTGAAATTGTATTGCATTTTTTCCTTTTTGTTCTAATGAGTAGAACATCAGAAGAAAAATGAAGAAAAACATTTCAAATGTTCTGTTCTATTATTCCCAGTGTTTACAAAGTTGCCGTAGACCAGGATATGTACTATGTGAAGCTAGGAGGGCCACTACGGCCTTCAGATATAGAGGCCATCCAGACCAGAGCTTGCCAACTGGCTTCTGTTTGTCTCAAAACATCTGGGACTTGGAGAAGTTTGGGCTCCTACACAAGCATAGCTTACTACATGGAAGGTCAGATATTTATACAGGTCTATTTAAAACTCACACAAGTATAGCCTACTACATGGAAGGTCAGATATTTATACACATAGAAGGTCTATTTAAAACTCACACAAACATAGCCTACTACATGGAAGGTCAGATGTTTATACACGTAACAGGTCTATTTAAAACTCAAACAAATATAGCTTACTACATGGAAGGTCAGATATTTATACAGGTCTATTTAAAACTCACACAAACATAGCTTACTACATGGAAGGTCAGATATTTATACAGGTCTATTTAAAACTCACACAAACATAGCTTACTACATGGAAGGTCAGATATTTACACACGTAACAGGTCTATTTAAATCAGAACAGCCTACTTTATGGAAGGGCAGATTTTATTTATAGAAGTAATGAAGGCCTACTTGTCAACTTGCCCTCTACTTGACAGCACTCTACTTGACAGCATGCTTTATACTTGTCTACTTGTCTTGACAGATGAGCACCTGGAGGTTGAGCTGACCTCACCTGAGGCCTGTACAGGTCGAACTAACCTGAATATTACAACAGTCATCAAGTTTAACTGTGACGAGGATGCGCTCAAGGTTAATAAATGTTCCCTATTATTGTAAGACACAATAATAAATGTTCCCAAAAGGCCTACTATAAATGTAAGAAAAATGAGTTAGAAAAACAAATGATCCCATTATAATTCCTCTTAGAAAAAAAGATTTTCAATAAAACCCTCTCTAAATAAAGTAAAATAACTACACTTTTTGGACAGACTCAACCAGAATTCTTGTACAAGACTGCAGATTGTGCCTACATCTTCAACTGGGATACTAATGTTGTGTGTCAAGATGCCTTGTAAGTTTTAGTCATAGAATCTGCTAGTTTTCTCTACATTACAGTTTTAGTCATAGAATCTGCTAGTTTTCTCTACATTACAGTTTTAGTCATAGAATCTGCTAGTTTTCTCTACATTACAGTTTCAGTCATTTAGTCATAGAATCTGCTAGTTTTCTCTAAACTACCCCATTTTGGGCATTTTGTTTTTTGATGGTTTTATAAAATGTACACATTGAGCCAAGTTCTGTGGAATTTGTATCTGACTTCTACAGTTAAAAATTAAAAGTTCACCCTTGAGTAGGGGAAAGTAAAGGCGAACTTGTTGTGTCAAAATTTGTATTTGAACAAGTGTTGTACTCTGCCAATCATGTTGTGTATCCTACTCAGTCATCTGTGCCACTTGTTATACTAGCAGGATATAGCAAAATACCAGACATGTTTTATATTTTAGAGTATTTTTTTATAGGAAAAAGGGCCCAGATCCAAGAGCAGATAACTCAGATGGGGGGAAGGGAAGTAAAATAGCCATAGCTGTGTCTGTGTTGGTTGGTATTGTGGTAGTCTGCCTGTTGGTGCTACTGCTCTACAAGCCTGAAAGAAGGTAAGATCATGTCAGTGTTGGTTTGACTATCAAAAAAGTTCACCAAGATTGCTGCTACGTAAATGTAAATATTCTTTTTTTTTCAGAGCCACAATAGCGTTTAAGCTGCGCAGAGCTGTTTGTTGTGGAAAGCTTCAAGATGCACCTATAGTGTACTCTAGGGTAAGTTTTCAACACTTTGTACTGCAACATTATTTTGCTGAAAGGGTGGACAACTTTGTACTGCAACATAATTTAATTAAACACATTGGTTCAATTCTCGAAGAACTGTTACTATTTCAGTTGGTTGAGTATTGGGGTAGAAATTAAACCAATAGCAGGATGTAAATAACTTTATTAAACTCCTTACAGAGCCCTGCAGAAACTGTCTCCTTCATTAGGTTACCGGTATGCTGTGCTTCTTACCACTGACAAAGCTAACATGTTCATTGTTTCATTCTTTCATTATCTGATCTTTTAAATACCAAATTACCTATGCATGACTATGAATGGTACTAAAGTATGACTTTATGAACTTATAATAATTTTATTACATGCAGTCAAGCTACTGCAGTCATTTAACTAAATTTATATTGATGATATAACCAATAACTTCTATTGTTAGCTTTTGCCCAATAGAGACTTTGTTTCACACTCCGTTGGCTCAATTTGTCAGGACATTTGGTGAATGTCCTGTGGAGAGGCCAAAGGACATGAGAGATTAAATTTTAAGGACATTTGGTGAATGTCCTGTGGAGTAGGACAAAGGGGATGAGAGATTTACACTATCATAACATCTCAGTTGAAATAGATAACAGCATCCCAATAGGTTCTTTCTACAGAAAAAATTAAAATAGTGTGTCTACATTTTTAAACATAACAAAGGCTAATGAAAACCTGACTTGATGTGGAACTAGCACCTAGAATGTGGGGTATGACTGGAAGGACACTAAGAATGTGGGGGAGGGGGGGGGGGGGTATGACTGGACAGGAGACAGTTTGATTGACCTGCTGAGACTTGAATATGTGGACAACTGCTGTCTGCCTCCTGTTGGCCTGAAAGAAACAACTGCTGTCTACATCCTATGTCCCAGTGGGACCATAGCCTAGCATTAAAGATGTTTTAAAGTACAAAACCAGACATTCCTTGTAAACAGTATGCAATTAATAGATGTCATTGTATCTTATTATGATGATGTTCTTTTGTAAATGTTTTGAAAAAAAAAATATGACTTTTTTCCTCCATAAAATTTAACATTAAAAAAATCATAGAAATTTTTTTACTAAAATCACATCTTGACTGTTTTCTTTGTGTCCCCTAGGGAACATAGAGCTGTAATCACATCTAGTTTTTACTAATATACATTTTTTTTTTATTTTTAAAATAACCCACTTTAGGTTTGTTCGAAATTTTAATTGATATTCAGTTTTTCACAGATTTGTTTTTCTTTAATCAAAATCTATCACCTTTTGATAAAATATTTGAATTTGGACTGGACTTTGTGATCCAAGGTTTAAAAATAAATGAGGTTACTATAAATGACAATTAACTTTAAGGACTTAAAGATTTATTATTTTGCTGTAGACTGTACTTAGTCAAATTAAATTTTTAAAACTTATTCCACTATGTGTTTGCAGCTATCCAACTCAGATGCTGCAGAGGATCCCTTCAACCCTTTCAATGACACGGAGGAGGAAGCTGAGATCAACAACAGCAGTGCTCCTACGGGTGCCTCCCCCTTCCATGATGACAGTGACGAGGACATGTTACTCTAAAGGCTGCAAACTTTCCCTAAGATTTCCATTTATTTCCTCCTGTTGATAGTGATAACTCACACATGAGGTTGTGTAGATAGCCTCCCTTGGGTCCAGACTTGTACATAATTGGGTAACCTGTTTCAACTTTGACATATCACAGAGCCTCCATTACAGAATCTTGTCAGGAAAAATCATTTCATTCTTTTATTTATTTCACTCATGCATAAGAGGTTAATTCTAAACTGGCAATAATCTTTTGACACCTCCACAAAGCTTATGTCATTTTTTTTTTTTTTTTTTTTTGAAATGTTTATCTTATCAATATGCTTGGTTGGGTTTTTTAACGCTGTGAATCATCACAACTCAAAACTTTAGTAGTTAATGAAAGAACCACTTTGATGACAATATGTTCAATTTTATTAACAATATTAGATCTTGGCTAACACTCTTAGAACTTCACTAAAACATAGATCCATATCAAATGTTTTCCTCTGAATTATTGGTCTACTGAGTTGTGATAGATTTCAAATGGGCTTTCAGCATTGAATGTTTCCTTCCTCTTGAGATACTGCCTCCTGGTTAAATCTCAGTTTATGTTGTTGAAGACTTCCTATAAGAAATATTTATTTCATGTCTGTTGAAGATTTGCTGTAATATATATTTATTTTATGTTTGTACAGAAAGAAAAAAATTCCAGTTCTTGTGTTTGTGTTGATATTTGCTAAAACTTTGTGAACATTATTTATTTTGTGTTCATTTGTTTTGTGTAGTAGTAGTTTCTGTAAAGAAATTCAGCATTGTTTTTTTTATCTGTACCCTTTGTGTCATTAATGTAGCTATATTAATGTATATTTTTTACAGAAATAAAAGCTTGATTTTAAGATTTATTTTCTGAAGCATAATGTCCCAATATTCCTAGTACCCAAATATCATATTTAGTAAGTAAAACATTGCTTGTAGAAAACTGTAGTTCAATGGCAGACTTGCTGTTCCAGAACATTATAGCCATTTATAATGTGAGATTTTTTTCTATCTAATAAATTGTTTGATAAGACAAAGCATTTACTCTCCAACCACATGATAAGACAAAGCATTTACTCTCCAACCATATGTATCCAATTATTTATTGAGAATCCTCTAAATTAGGTCAACATCAGTGTGCCTTTTTGCATTGCTAAACTGAAGGAGAAATTATGATCAAATAAAATAGGAAAAATCGAATTTTTATTTTAACGTTATTTTTTGTTAACATTTTTTTTATGTTAAAATTGTGTTAAAAGTTAAACCAATGAAAAAGTATATGATAATGTGCCTGTTTGCTTTTTGCTGAATGTTGGTATGTGCATGGTGTCTGCTCATGTGTGCCTGTGAATGAAATCTGCCTGGGATATGCTGAACTCTACTATGTCTAGAATCTGAGACCTTAAGTCTTCAGTAACATGTTTGTTGCTAAAATGTTGAGTTAAATATGACATGCTTTATAACTGTGAAACTTAAAGTCCAGAATTTTTAAAGGATCACAGTTATATAAACTTGGATTGTATATTTTACAGAAAATATTCCTGAAGATAATTTGTTCAGATTTGCATAATGTTTAATATTCATGTTTTAAGTAATAAAATATTTTTAATAAATTGTTAGCATTAATCAATTTTAGTTGTCTTGATTGTTTTATCACTTTTGTATGTTTCAAGTTAATGTTAACATTTATCTGATATTTCATTTGAACATCCCTCAGTTGTTTAGTGTTAAAAGTTAACATACAGTTAACTCTTTCATGCTAACACACACAGTTAATTGCTGCTTCATGTTAAATTACACAATTATTCCTTCCATGTTAACACTGAGGTATGTTAGCTCCCACCTCTATTTTTTTTTTTTTTTTTTTTTTTTTTGTTAAAAATGAGAATAGGGAAAGGCGCGACAGGCTAGACATGAACGTGATTAGAAAAGGGGAGAGAATCCATCCAGATGGGAAGTCATGAAAGTGATAAGAAAGGGGGAGAGAATCCATCCAAAGGCAAGACTTGAAAGTGTATGTAGATAAATCCTGCAAAGTCTGATGTGCAAGTCTCTTCCTCTTATCTGGGGCTAGCCTCCATATATAGTTTCATGTTCTCCTGTGCTATTGCTAAAATACGTCAACCTAATTACGGAGAAGACATGATGCATGCCTAAACAGTGGTAATTATCCAGATATCGTACTTAACGTAATGACACAGGATTCATGTCATGGTAGTGCGGGTATGGATAAGAAAAATGCATTCAGGCTACTTGGTCGATGTTTATGTAAGAGGGGTGGGGGTGGCTTGCATTGTTTGTCTAATCAACCTTTTCAGGGTGGTGACTTGCTTAGTTTGTACAGCTGGGGGGGGGGGGGGGGGGCTTGCATTGTTTGTCTAATCAACCTTTTCAGGGTGGTGACTTGCTTAGTATGTACAGCTGCCCTGAAGACAAGCGTGTCGTGTTATATGATCTTCCTTTTTTATAATGATTTTCCTTTTTTTATATATCTATACATTGTATAACATCTAGACTGATTACAAAACCGAGATCGCGGATTCACCAAACACTCCAATTATGACGGCACCTTTAACTTTCATAAAAGTTTATATGTTGGTATAGCTTTCTTGTTACACCTCGATCAATGCGGTGAAATGGAGAGCTGCCATGAAAAGCGAAAATTTCAGTACTTTCTTATTGGATACAGTTAAAAAACAACTAGACACAGTTACGCATATAAATAATATAGATCCTACTCTAGGTGTTCCTAGCCAGCTATAGATGCTGTTGATCGACAAAGCAACGAATGTTTTCCCCACATCTGTCGTTTGGGCTACAATTTCATGAAGCGATAAAGGCCGTTGTGTACCAACCAAAATTAGACACCCCTACACACACACAACACACACACATATATATATATATATATATATATATATATATATATATATATATATATATATATATATATATATATATATATATATATATATATATATATATATATATATATATATATATATATATATATATATATATATATATATATATATATAGGGGGGCCGATAATTAAGCTTATGTCTTATATTTATCGACCCCCCCCCCCCACTCGCCGTTGTTAATGTGTCGGCTTATGGAATGTTATGGTCTGTTTAGAAATAATAAACAAGGTAGGTCATCTTAAGGGCTATATAAATCAGTGATAAATATTAGTTTTTTAATTATCAATTATTACTCGAGTTCTATAAAAATGTTTCAAATTATACTAAAACAGAGTTTATTCCAGGCATCTCTCCGAGGGGGCACCGCTCCCCCCCCCCCCCCCCGAAAATTAAGAAAGTCTGCCGCCCCCCCCCCCCCCCCCCCCACCTAACGAAATGGAATTTATATAGAAAATATATACTTTTGACAGTGTCCGTCCCCCCCCCCCCACCCCCCCCCCCCCCCCCCCCCCGACAATTTCAAGTGCACCCCCGGAGAAAAAAAATCTGGAAGAAACACTGTACTAAAAGCGTAAAAGCGTACGTTATCGACGTTATGTTATTGTTGTGTGAATGCTTGGTCGCTCATCTACACATTTCCTATTTATTATTTAAATTTTAAAGGTTGCTATTATAATAAGTATTAAATCATCTTTTGTTAATAACTAGGCTCGATTCGATTAAAGTAGGCCTATTAGTAGTTAGTAGTATAAGCATTACTATTAGTTAGTTAGTAGATTGCATAAGTAGCAATGTCGTAATGAGTGTTTACAATCTCCGCTTATCAGCTGACGAGAGGCGTGGCTTTCTCAAATTTTAACCAATGAAATAATACCATCTGTCTCTCAGGAATATTCAGTATTTTTTTTTTTAAATAATGAAATGTGTAGGCTACATCTATATTAAAAAACCATACATTATAAATTATGGCGTTTAGCTTCTTCAATAGAAATATTTACTTTGTTTATTTTATTTTAAAATGAGTGTGCCCTTAGCCATACAATAACACGACAACTAGGTCCTAGGCCCTGGACCCTGATCTGGCCTAAATGGCAAGTACACATTGAGTTTCTCCGCATCTGTTAATCCGGAAGTTTGAGCTTTTACTGCCGGTTCGACACGAGTGGGATTGTTTAGATTTTGGACTATGAAACATTTCATCAGATAATTGTTTACATATAGATCTAAATCTACTTTATAATTGAAAAGGATGAAGACTATATTGCTCAGACTTATACACTATTTAATTTCTCTTGGAGAATTTCTCCGTTATCTTATTTTATTTTTGCCAGCACAAACTATTAGTGTTTATAAAAAGTCGTCCGCTTCAATAGCGAACATTCAATCGGATTCCAAAAAACTGAAAAAACTTCCAGCTCATCTAGGATTTTTGGTTGTTGAAGATGAATTTTCCTTCAAAGATCTAGCCAATATGATTGTCTGGTCTGTTGCACTTGGAATTTCATACATTAGTGTTTATGATATTAATGGTAAGTGAAATCTGTAGCCTAATGATCGGTAGGCCAAATGAAACTTTGGTAATCTATCGTTTTGGGTACGTAAAATCGTCCGCGACTAGTAATGTGAAAAACAGGTGACTCCTTAAATTTTAATAATTATTTCACATTTTGAGGAGGATTTATGTTTTTTAAAATACAAAAATGTTTCCTTGTTTCATTTATGTACCTGTTTTTAAACAATTGAATTAAAACGTTTCAGTAATAAATGAATACTAGCGATGTTTCCAACAGATGCAACCATGCTCGTTTGCTATAGCAGCCATCTTGTTTACGTTTTATTTTTATAAGATTCAGGGGTAAGCCACTCTATTTTACAAATGGCTGCTGTTTATATAGTAGATTTTCTTACTAAATCTAGAATTTACCCAAATTTCAAATTAAACATGACTACTGAATGATAGACATCCATATTTAATCCATTAGGGACTGATTTTGAAGTTTTTAGTTCGTTTTAAACTAAGTTACTTAATTTAATATTTATTGACACTCACTGCCATGGACAACACATCTCTCCATGACAACTCTTCTTACCCCTGAAGGCACTTGAAGCTAAAGAGAACCACAAATGCGGTTAGACTTTTTAAGTGGCCATGTACCCAGAGTTCCCCACTAGTGATCATCAAATAGCGGTCACGTGGTCAAAAAAATTAAAAAAATTTGGTTGTCATTTTTTGGCCACTCTTATTAAAAAAAGGGTTGAAGATATTTGATTTATTTTTTCATAGAATGATAAAACTAATAATGCTTTACTATGGAAATCAATTTTGTGAAATGGAGATCTATATTTAAAAAGTTGTATTATTTTGAATGACACCGACTTTAAATTTAGCCTACATTCCCCAAAGCAATTTTTTAAAAGTAATTCTAAGAAGGTCTCTGGAACTAAGTCGAAAAACTTGCCGGAAGTCATGGTCCGATCCTTACGCCATGTTCTGGTTAGCAACCAAGGACGCTTTTAAGTTAGTGAGCCTCCCTATTATATAGCAAATCTTGCTAGCAGACACTGCTGTTTAAAGTTAATTTCTGGCCTATATTGATATATTAAGCCATTGCAATGATTTAGGTTTAATATTCATTTATCTATAATATTTGACACAAAAATATTACAATATACTTCTTTTAAAGCCTTGACAATGAGGTTTTCGTACACTAATAGCCGCTGGCGATTTTACGTACCTAAAGCGATAGATTACCGAAACTTTCTTACTTTGAAACATTTTTGAAAATTTTAAAACATAAATTGATAGATTCTAAATTAAATAGAGTAAAGTGCCTCGCGCTGTTAAACCTCCGCAGCAGCCATCCTCCTGTTTATAATTTAAAAGCGCAAGGCACTTTACTCTAGCTAGGCATATCGCTACCACCCCCTCCAGTCTGGTGAGCTGTGGTTTATGCCAAATGTTTACAATTGTAGAGCCGGGTGAGATTAGTGACGACTATTAGGGGCAGATAATTTAGTTTCTAAACTATTTGAAACCAAGGGGAGGTAACTAAGAGGAGACTGCTTTCACTAGTTTCACTGGGGTTGGGGGAAGGTAGGGGGATAATCGTCCTTCACGAGGTACTGATAGTGTTTTAAAGCACATACATTTAGTCGCAGCATTGGTAGTGTCGTATTCACAAATTATGAATTGCTAAAAAGTAGCTAGGCCAATGCCGCTGCCGAGAAAATCGGACAAATCGGCTTTTCCCTACCCCCTGCATGTTATAGAATAGATATTGATTTGCATCAACAAGTTGCAAACTAATTCCACTTTTATGCGATTCTCGCTATTTTTTCTTTTCAGGTGAAATTAAACGCAACAGTGTTCTACTACAACAGAATATAGATGCTAGTAAAGAAGAGGTTATGGGCACAAATAAAAATGGTTATGATATCCAGCTTTATTCATCGCCTGCAAGTGTTTCCCAACCGGTAAATTCAGGTTAGTTTACTGTTTTGTTAATTTGATAATAAATGTTTAGTTCCTATTCCTAGACTGCATCACAACTGTATTCAATTTTTGAATGGACAAAATATTTTTGAATTCCCATTGTTTGTGCCCTTAGACACAGCTGTAAAATAGCAGGGCTTTTCTATGCTTACTTATCAAAGTTATATTGTCCCTTCCCAGCTCTAACCCTTGCCAAAAACTTCAAGATTGTTAACCATTGCATTTTAAATCATGTTCTTAAAAATAAATATCAATGTTAAGTTTTATACTCCCAGATTTACTTGATATTTGTTACTGCATGGGGTAGGATATGAACTTCATTTTTTGCTGGTTTTCTATTTACAGGTTCCTCCAAAGTTCACCATGCCAATGTTTATTTACTGTGCATTGAAGATAGTCATAGGAAAATAGTTGACATGTCTCGGCATCTAAGCAATATGGTTAATTTGGGAATGTTTAAGCTAGAAGACATTAGTCCTTCCAATGTGGATACATTATTTCAGGGTAAGGCTTGTTAGCTATTTTTTTACTGCTTTATATATTTATCTCGATTGTTTATGGTAAAGTATAAATTTTAAGTTTAGTTTGGTGTTTTTTTTCTGTCACAGAATCATTGCAGTTTCCAGACCCTGAATTGTGTATTAAATTTGGTTCTGTTGATAGTTTATTTGGTTATCTACCTTGGCAGATTAGACTTACAGAAATTATGTAAGTACTATTGTATTGTAGTCATTTGTTTTAAATGTATTCATTCACTGTAATTTTTCCTCCAAATTTAAATACAAAACATGTTCTTTACTTTTTACACATAATAGCCTTGTTAGAAACTAGTAATACATGGCTGGGATTATAATGACAATCTAAAATATGTACTTCAATTTTTACTCATTGTTTCAACCAGTAAAGATTAGATTTGCTGAATTTTAAATTTTAAATACATTTTTTTTTCAGTTCCCTTCCGTCTCATAAAGGAATTATTTATAAATCATTCCTGTCATCTTTAGTCCATTATGGAAACATTAATCAACGGTTTGGAAAGTAACCACTTGTGTCAGACGTGTTTGTTGTTCTTATCATCTGTTGCTGTGAAGGGTTATGGCTTTGTATGTTGACTAAGTTGTTGATGTAAGCTGAATTGAGGGAAAGCAGTTGGATGGTGATCATTTTCTACTGTGACAGGAAGAAGTTTTCATCAGCCATTAAGTGCTCTGTTATCATGTAAATAAGAAAAAAATCTTGTTTATTTTTTTTTTTGGTAAAAATGAAATAGGAAAGAGTATTGTATGCTTTTATATATGAGTTATAGTTGCTGTGTGCCATTGTGTAAATAAGTAATAATATAAAAAATACAGTTTATGCTGAATCAGCAACTATGTTTCTTTAAGTAAGAATCATCCTACAGTAGTATTATAAAAGTTGAAGCTAGGTTTTCAATTAAAGGTTACTGGAGTATATCAATGCAAGAATTAATTAATGTTTTCAGTTGAGATTTCTGGATTATCAAATGTTAATGTAAGAAAGATTAATCTTTGTTTTGTTGTTATCCTTAAGGCATATTTATGTTCAAGTGTCTCGTATTTTTTTGGTTTTGTTTTATTATAACTTGCTTTGATTCTCATATATGCACGTTAAGTATGCTTGTCACAGTTCACATTTTTAGCACTTGGTGAAAGGAACAAAACAGTTTTTTCTGTTCCAGGTTAGTTTTTGTTGTTGATGGGTTGCAGATGTTATGCCACGTTTAGCAATACAAAACAGTTCTTAAGCTAATTTTATGCCAAAAGAATTTAAGCTGCCAGTTTTTGTATAAAGCAGTGTGTCAAAAACTGTACTTTGTTCATCAAATAGTCCCCTTCATGCTGAGTAAGTCCATTCTATTTAGATCTCTTTATTTTATTCATGCCAATAAAGTTTATAATCTGCTTTTCAAAAATCTGGATTGAGACATGTTTTAACAATTTTAACTTGCTGACAAAGCAATAAAGTTGTTTGTATAAAAATTTAATAAAAGGATTCCTTTTGCCATTTGAGTAAAATAAATATTTAATTTTTTTTAGTTATGTGATAATATATAAAGAATTCTAATTCTATGTAGCTTTAAAAGCTGCTATCAAAAAAAAAGGCAAGCAGTTTGAATCAAAGAATGACTAGAACATACATTAAGATACACCACAGTTTGTGAACTCCAAAATAAACATTACATGCCATTGTCAAATACATACTACCCCTTGTTTTAAATGTGTTGGGTTCTGTATTTATCATCTTCATATACCTGGGTATTTAAGGCTTGCCAAGCAACTGTTAATGTTCCTTTGTTATATATGTCTTGTAGAGTTCTCTGTGCTATCTAATTTCCTGTAAATTGGACATTTCTGTTCACCTATCCTGTATTGTTCTATAGAAAGAAAACACTTGATATATTGCTAGTTGACAACCCACACATTTAACTATTTCTTGTACATTAATTTATAAAATTATTTTATAATTTAAGCAATTCTAATGTATATTTATAAAATAATTTATAGACAAGAAAATTATCTAAATATGCTTGTATTGTTTACCACATATTAACATTCAACTTTATGTTGATAGATTGTAATGATCAGACCATTTCTTTCCATCTGTCATTTTTACCAAATAAATATGATCTACTTGAATGTGAAGGTTTAAAATCATTGTACCATGAATTAATGTGTCATTGAATAGTAGTTCTAGTGTATAAAAGGTTGCTATGTCAGTTATGTCTTTGATGTTTTCTAAAAGCAAATTGTGTTGGTATCAGGATAATAGCTACAAAATTGGGGGGTGGTGACAAACCTTTTTTTAAAAATACCCACAACTACTGAGATCGGCTTATAAAAATTATTTACCTACCAATTTTGACAAATACAGCAACCAAATGTGTTATCATAACTGATGTCGGATAAACTTAGTTGAACCACTGAATAAATATCAAAATAAACTAAGTCAACCTATCATATTTTAAAACAGTTTATTTCCCTTTGTATGTGTGTTTTGTCTGGTTATCTCCCTTGTTAAAGATTGTTTTGTATGCTACTTTTTGAGTCATGTGATGGAGAACTCGTCAATGATGTCTGTTGTATAACAACTTCATTACTGACTGTTATCGGGTTATTTATTAATGCTGCAATATCTGAAAGGTTGGTTGATTTTTTTTAGAGGCTGAGTTGTGTGTATTCTTATAGAAGTCATCAAAGAACATGGCTATTTTATTCATTTTTATAACCTATAAGTCTTCACAGAACATAGCTATAATTTTATAACCAGGAGATCAATATCAGATTAATATGTATTTTATTTACCTTAGCCTTAGAGTCACCAATATTTCCTTATACGTGGATGGGGAGTTTATCATATCTAGCGACTGCACATAAAGATATAAGTTGAATAGGTGAGCATTGTTTGTGTTCTGTAAGCTCAACCAATAAATGTTTATTGCAGTTTTATTTCCATATAATTACCTTGTTGTTGAGTTGACTGTTTGAAATGTAATAAAATGTACAAAGGAATGTATGTGTAAGTTTTAAAATGAAAGGAAAATGAATCTGGTTATGGTTACCTGAGGTAGATATTTGACTTTTAATATCTTAGCTAAAATAGATACATTTTTATTAAAAGTATTAATAACAAATAGGTGTAGCCCATCTAATTTCCAACATTGTAGATTGTAAGCTATTAATCTTTTTAGTCACTAAAGAAAAAATAAGTTCAGATTCAGACTATAAATTTAGTTTTTGGGATTATTATAGTTGACTGTTCAGGAAATTGGTTAACCAGCCATGAGTTTGCCTTAAATATTGTATTTAGCTGAAACAAAAAATGTGTATATTTGTATATAGCTGTTAGGCTAATTGAAGGGTTAACACTTGGTACTGTGTTGGTCAGACTTGTCATTAAAATTGAATAGAGAAGTTGTTAGTTCACCTTAGTTGCTGCTAAATGTTTCATTGTGTCCCATGCTCAAGTCATAATTTGTGGCTCATGTTGCTGTGTGTGGCAGAAGAAATGAATGAACAATTTATGAACATCATTAATTATATAATGCATTAAAACAAACTACAAAGTTCTTTTCTTTCCATTTTTTCCCTGTGGCTAATACACTTGTTTCATTGAAATCCAACGCCACTAACTGTGTTTTCTTTGATTCCTAAGATGCTGCTATTTTAAAGATGTTTTTACTGTATGTTTATTTTTCAAAGCAAACAAAATATATATTAGGATTCTTAACTCAACCAAACCATAAACATTTATTATATGCACGGACTCTTGTACAATTATCATATCCTTTTATAACTTCCACTGATTGTGCCCCCCTCCACACACACACACACATTCAAGCATTAGACTGAAAAAAATAGTGGGATGAATTAAAATACTTTAGAGATAACGAAATGCGAAGACTAGCATCGACATTGAATATTGACACCAACACAAAATAAAAGGAAGACTTGCTGCACACAAAAAGGCGTGTCCGTATGGGACCGTCTATCTTGTGGTTGGAGCCTGTATCTCTGTATGTTAATGAAAGCACCTATCTTGTGGTTGGAGTCTGTATCTCTGTATGCTAATGAAAGCATCTATCTTGTGGTTGGCGTCTGTATGTCTGTAGCTAATGAAAGCACCTATCTTGTGGTTGGAGTCTGTATGTCTGTAGCTAATGAAAGCACCTATCTGGTGTCTAGTGGATAATTTTGCGTGTAAATACACGAAAGACACTTTCCCGAATGCCGTTTGCCCGGAGGCTGTTAACGACAAATGGCCATATGATATTTACCCTAAAAATTGTTGTTCTTTAATATTTTTTAAGTAGAAGTTCAGAATAAATGTGTATTTGACAGTGACATTATAATAACTAACACTATTCTAATGAAACACAAACATGAATTTGTTACGATTTTTAAGATTTAGCATTTATTTTTTAAGAAATGATAAACTATTTTCTTTAATGGAAGTTATAACAGGCCACATACTCGACACGATCTTACATTAAATTAATGGTAAGCCCTATATTCAATTTGAAAAATCCCAAAATACTGTATTAAAAGATTTGACGGACACATCAAAGTGTGAGCATCAGACATTGTTTTCAATTATCACACTGTTCCATCTAATGCGTTGAAGATTATGTTTCTGTTGATCTACAAAATGCTATTAATAATTGGCTCCATAGACTGACGAGTGATTGCATAATTGCGCCTTGGAACTCAAGGTCTGGGCAGTAGGTTGAGAAGAGCCAGATGTTGCTCTTTAAATAGTTTAGTCAATAAGTGTATGTATTCTAGGTCGGTGAAAATAAACAAAATAGTAGTCATTAATTTTTTTTTTCCGGATTATTTTAATTTGCTTGTTACCACCATACATAATACTGAAGATTGAAATGTCTATTATATGAGAAGGTAGGAGGCGGATATTTAAAATTATTTTTCACCCATTAACACACGTTTGCAAATCCTTTAATACACGTATCTTTCCCAACCTTTAGCACATGTATGTTCGCCAACCTTCGGCACATGTATGTTCGCCAACCTTCGGCACATGTATGTTCGCCAACCTTTAGCACATGTATGTTTCCCAACCTTTAGCACATTTATGTTCGCCAACCTTTGCCACATGCATGTTTGCCAACCTTTAGCACATGCATGTTTCCCAACCTTTAGCACATGTATGTTTCCCAACCTTTAGCACATTTATGTTTCCCAACCTTTAGCACATGTATGTTCGCCAACCTTTGGCACATGCATGTTTGCCAATCTTTAGCACATGTATGTTTTCCAACCTTTAGCACATGTATGTTTCCCAACCTTTAGCACATTTATGTTCGCCAACCTTTGGCACATGCATGTTTGCCAATCTTTAGCACATGTATGTTTCCCAACCTTTAGCACATGTATGTTTCCCAACCTTTAGCACATGTATGTTTCCCAACCTTTAGCACATGTTGTTCGCCAACCTTTGGCACATGCATGTTTGCCAATCTTTAGCACATGTATGTTTCCCAACCTTTAGCACATGTATGTTTCCCAACCTTTAGCACATTTATGTTCGCCAACCTTTGGCACATGCATGTTTGCCAATCTTTAGCACATTTAATCAATTCACTGTCGCGGGACTCGCAACATACCTGCTAATACACAACACACTGGTCATGGGAAATCACCCATTATGGAGGCTATAATTAGAAATACGTTTTTTTTTTAATTTTCAAAAATATAATGTTTTCATAGGTGGCTTCTTACCTAACAGGATTAGTCAACAATACAATCAGAAATGAAAAAATAAATATTTATATTTATATTTAGTTTTTGTGAACTTTTGTTGAAATCATGCAGATTTTACTAGATCTAGAAGTCTAGTAAGAATTACTAATCAGCATGTTTGGCTCCATTTGGTTAACTTCCTGGCTAAAAATGATTTTAATGCCAGGTTGGAAACGGAAGCTCGATGTCTAAAAAAAAAGGCGTAGCTACCGAAACATATGAAAAAAAAGAGAAATAATAAAACGAAAACTGCACACATCATAAAACATTCTGCTTAAAATTGAATTCAGTTTCTTAATTAAATCTTAATACTAATTGTATATTAGTGTATGCGAATTGTATACAATACCTTAAGATTTTAATGAATCGATATTAGTGATTCTTTCTTCTGGGGGGGGGGGGGCAGAGGGGGCACTTAAAACCTTTAGAGGGTGGGGGGGGGGGGGGAAGGGCGGACTATATTTTCCGGAGGGGGGAGACACTGGTAAAAGTGTACATTTCTATATAAATTATATTTTGTTTTCGACGTGCTTCGAAGAAATGCCTAAAAGAAACAGTGACCGTTTTTTTCATTACAGACACACGTATCATCAACTATTGACAAATATTATTTTTTATGTCAATCCAGTTATTTTGCATTCGATCCACTTAGATGCATTATTCTCATACTCACGATATTTATATACAACTATGTCACATGCAAATGGCTAGTCTTCCTAATTAATACACCGGTGGATATTATTGTAAAACACGTGCGGCGTCAATTCGGCCAATGACGAAACGGCCCCGTCAAAACGACCCCGAAAAAAACGACCCCGTCAAAACGACCCCGTCAAATCGGCCCCGTCAAAAGGGCCAGCGACATATGGACCCCGTCATATAGGCTCCCGACAAATAGACTCCCGTCATTTAGGCTACCGACAAATAGGCTCCCGTTATATAGGCTCCCGACAAAAGGGCTCCAGTCAATAAGGCTCCCGACAAATAGGCTCCCGTCATTTTGGCTCCCGACATATAGGCTCCCGTCATTTAGTTTTTTCCACAAAACGGCCCCCGTCATTACGACTCCCGACAAATAGGCTCCCGCCATTTAGTTTCTCCACAAAACGGCCCCCGTCATTACGACTCCCGACAAATAGGCTAGCGTCATTTTGGCTCACGACAAAAAGGCTCCTGTCAATTTGGCTCCAGACAAAAGGACCTCTGATAATACCGTTTCTGTAGAGACTAAGTCTCCCGGTGAAGCGGTCTCATTGAATATGACACCTGCCAGATATAGATATAGATATAGATATAGATATAGATATAGATATAGATATAGATATAGATATAGATATAGATATAGATATAGATATAGATATAGATATAGATATAGATATAGATATAGATATAGATATAGATATAGATATAGATATAGATATAGATATAGATATAGATATAGATATAGATATAGATATAGATATAGATATAGATATAGATATAGATATAGATATAGATATAGATATAGATATAGATATAGATATAGATATAGATATAGATATAGATATAGATATAGATATAGATATAGATATAGATATAGATATAGATATAGATATAGATATAGATATAGATATAGATATATATAGAGAGAGAGAGACAGAGAGAGAGAGATAGATAGAGAGAGAGAGAGAGAGAGAGATGTCGATGTCGATGTAGATGTAGATGTAGATATAGATATATAGATAAAAATATTTTTGCGGGTCGGCCCATTTTTTCTAGTTCCGCCACTGAATACAACGTATGCATCTCTTGTTCGGCAGGATTTATTTTTATATTAGTTTATCTATTATAAAATATAGTATGTTTTAATTGGCTACAGGACATTACCCCCCTGGATATTTCCCCCCCCCCCCGGACATTCCCCCCCCCGTATTTACCCCCCGGAGCAATTACCCCCTGTCAATTACCCCCCTGTCAATTCCCCCCCCCCTGGGGAATTACTCCCCCCCCTCTCAAGTTAAAACCCTAACTCTATCTAGAATTTTATACCTATATACTACTTTAATCCAAACCTTAAGAAAAAGACCAAAACATAAGCATCCACCTTAGCCTAAAACTTCACACAAAACCAAAATCAAAGCTAGACACAACCCTAACCCTAACACTAGCCCTAACCCTAACCCTAACCCTAATCCTAATCCTAACCCTAACCCTATCCCTAGCCCTAACCCTAACCCTAACCCTAACCATAGCCCTATCCCTAGCCCTAAACCTAAACCTAAACCTAAACCTAAACCTAAACCTAAACCTAAACCTAAACCTAAACCTAAACCTAACCCTAACCCTAACCCTAACCCTAGCCCTATCCCTATCCCTAGCCCTAAACCTAAACCTAAACCTAAACCTAAACCTAAACCTAAACCTAAACTTAACCTAAACCTAAACCTAAACCTAAACCTAAACCTAAACCTAAACCTAAACCTAAACCTAAACCTAAACCTAAACCTAAACCTAAACCTAAACCTAACCCTAACCCTAGCCATAAACCTAACCCTAAACCCAGCCCTAACCCTAACCCTAACCCTGTCCGGGGGGGGTTAATGTCCTACTGGGCGGGGGGTAATTGACAGGGGGGTAATTACTCTGGGGGTAATGTCGGGGGGAAATATCCGGGGGGTAATTGACAGGGGGGAAATGCCCTGTTCCCGTTTTAATTTAAGGGTCATCTATCTATGACATCCATAATTGAGTCGGTTATAGGCTGTTCCAACTCATTGTGTGGGGAGAAGGGTCCACGCTGTACCTTCCTAACTGCAATATGCTTGTACAGGGGCGTAGCGAGGGGGGGGGGGGTGCAGACCGCACCGGGTGACACCATTTAGGAGGGTGACACAAAGGCAAAAATAGCAAAATATATAGAGAAAAAGTTGAGGGGGTGGGGGTGCAAATCGAAAGTTTGGGGGGGGGGGGGGTGCAAATCGAAAACTTGAAAGTTTGTTCCCGGGAAGGGTCGCAACGCCTCTGGGGGAGAGGTGACACCATTAAGTGCCGCACCGGGTGACACCCGACCTCGCTACGCCACTGTGCTTGTAGGTTATCAAAACAAAATGCTGTTATCATGTTAACATCATGTATATCATACATTTACACTTCTGTGCACGCTTTTAAGCAACAGATCTTTTCTGTTGTAAATTAAACATTATCAAAACTTTAGAATTGGTGGAATTTAGCTGTTAAGGGCTCTATTTGTTTGTGAATTAATGTTGGTTCATGAAAAAATAATTTCATTCGGGCATTAAAAAGAGGTTATGGTGGTATTGGAGGTAGGACACAATGGTTACTTTTATGCCAATAGTGGTCATATCATTCATTTTTCTGGAGCCAATATGTCGGGAGTCATTTTGTCAAAAGCCAATATGTCGGGAGCCCAATTGCCGGGAGCCAATATGTCGGGAGCCCATTTGTCGGTAGCCAAAATGTCGTGAGCCCATTTGCCGGGAGCCCATTTGTCTTGAGCCCTTATGTCGGGAGCCAATATGTCGGGAGCCGCTTTGTCGGGAGCCAATATGTCCCGAGCCTATTTGTCAGGGGTTAATATGTCGGGAGTCCATTTGTCGGGAGCCTAAATATCGGGAGCCCATTTGTCGGGAGCCTATATGTCGCAAGTCAATATGACGGGAGCCCATTTGACGGGAGCCAATAAGTCGGGGCCCTTTTGACGGGGCTATTTTGACGGGGTCGGTTTGTCGGGAGTCGAGTTGACGGGGTCGTATTAACGGGGCCGTTTTGACGGGGCCCATTTGTCCCGGGCCGTTTTGACAGGGCACCTGTAAAACATATATGCTTAACTCGTCCACATTGTCTTTTTACTCGACAGTTTAAACAATCTCACAGATTTTTAAGAATGTTTTTAAAATTGTAAAATATAGTCAGATTTCGTGTAAGTCACTATTGCATACTAGGCGCGTAATTTGAAAATAAAAATTAAATTATTACCATTTGCTTACATAGTCTGTTAAATTGTAGATATTATTATGGCATATTAAATGTGAATTAATGTTATGCTAATGTTAATTAACATTTAGTTTTCAAAGATAATAATAAAACAACTAGTTATTCAATTTTGAAAACTTACAATTTAATATGTGCAATAAAAACACGATTCACCACTCTGCTGCTGTCTGCCTGGTTTCAGAACATCGTCTGAACTTATTATCGTAAACCCGGACTAAGTTTTGTGAATAGCGTAGTGTAGATGTGTATTGAGAGGGTTAGGGTTGATTAAGGATTGTTTAATACACTACATTTTATGTAAGATGTCGTAAACACAACGAATGTAAATCTTGTATGTGTATATAATTAAGTTTCGGATGGTAGGCCTACTGGTGTTGCTAACACTATGATATGACAAATTGTTAACAGATGTAACAAACTAATAAAATTAAAATAAATGCATTAAAAACAAATACAAATTAAATATCATGTAAGATGTTGAAGTAAGTAATATAGATTCTATACAAGGTTAGAAAATGTGTCTACAGCGGTCTCCCCCCTCCCTCCCCCCCCCCCCCCCCCCCCCCAAAAAAAAAAGCATATCTTTCATTACCAATACGAGTAATTTCTTAAATAGAGACTTATAAACATAAAGACAGTGTCATAATTTTGGACTTGGTTTGCCAGTGAAAACAGGTAACTCTTACGTTACGACTAGATTCTAAAGGACATCTTTCATTTCCAATCAAATCTTTATGCAAAAAGACTAGCTTATGCTGCTTCAAAAAATGCGCTAGGCTTGTTTCAGTAGTATTCGACATTTAAAGCGACCGTTTTTTTCACCATCTAGGAAATTTATCGAATGTTTTTATATGTAGTCAAGGAAATCGATATCAAAGCAATTAAAGGTAAATTACACAACTGTTTGCTATTAAAACCTCTTTCCATATGATAAGATTACATCTTTTATATCTGTTAACACTATAAATAAAATAAATAGCCATATATAGATCTACAGTAGCTAGGAATATTGACCTCTTCAATTTAAAATTTAATAAATAAACTCAAACTGAGAAAGTCAGTGGTCACAGCACACCCAGTCAGTCATGTCATAGTCATAGTCAGTGATAGTTACACTACACTACAGGAACTTAAATCTAGTAGATATCTAAACTCTCCTCTAGCCTCTAACTCTTAATTTTAAAAGTTTTGGCATCATGTAGGGCCTATGTACAATAAAATCTAGAGCTAGGATAAACGGATAAACTAGCTGAGACACTAACTTACTACTACTCACAATATTTTAGAGATCTAGGCCTACTAACTTAATTTACATTAGGCCTAAATTTAATTTAAAATATTTTATATGTGGTCTGAGTTTCAAACCACTCAAAAAAAAATAACAAATATTAACAAAGTAATAATATTACTATTAGGCCTAATATTTAGGGCCCTAGAATTAATTATTTTCATTCCCTACCCCTAAGCCCTATAATGAGTAATTTTTACAATTTTTTTATTCCATTCCATTGTTATCTATTGATCATAAAAAAATGTATTATCTAGGCCTATAGTCAGTATAGTGGCTATAGGCCTCTAAAGTATTAAGTAAGTGTAAACTAGATCATCAAAATTCAAATGATTTTGTTGTTTATAAGACTTAAACTTACACTATTTCATTGCAAAGTTACAAGTATATTTTAGTATATCCATGAATCTTAACAAAAAATGTATGGGCCAACTTGATTTAGAAGCTAAATTAAAATTTTTGAACCTCATATCACTTTCATGTTGGATTTTATCTTGAAAATCAGAAAACTTAGTTATCCAGCAAGCCAACCATAAAATTTAAGTTACCCAAGCTTGTTTTTTTCCCACGTTTTTTACTATGGTTTGCTGTGTTAATATTGTCTAAATGGTTTTTGTATTTGTTTTATTTAGGCCTAAAAATCACTTTATGTTAAAATATCTGTCATTATTATGATTATGATAATATTTATGAAGTATGCAAATCCTATAGGCCTATAATAATAAATTGGCTTATTTTTTCTGTCATGTCCAGAACTAAATAATAATTAAAACAGCTTTTATTTTTAGAACTTTATAGTTTTCACATTATTTTTAAACTGCCCCAGTTATAGTGTATCTATGCTGATATGTAATATATAATAACTAATTAAATTAATCAATTAAACTTATAGGGAAATAACCCCCAGATTAGCTACCAAGTTCTTTCTTATTTATTTGCATTTTTAGTTTCTTATATTACTAGGCTACTTTAAAAATTACTTATCTTAAAAACAAAAGCACAAGGATAGCATTTTATGCAAACAACATGGGGTGACAATATTAAGGTTTACATGATTATTAATATTTGAACCATGCCTATCACCAGAGTAGCCTAAAAAATGTCATGTTTGATTAAAATATCTGTGGCATAGTATAATAAATGCTCTCATGCCTACATGTGAAGGGTTAATTTTAGAATGCAACATAGTGTTAATACTGGTGAAAACAGCTGTCTTACATTAATAGACCTACTACTTTAACAATTTATTAATTGAAAAGCAGAAAAATACTAACATGGAATAATTTTAACAATTTGTGTTATTAAGCTAGTAGGTAAGTGGTAAATTAAGAGGTAGTGGTCGAGAGTTCATGCATGAGAGAGTTGTTTATCTGGCAAAGTGCAGCTAATATAATTATTGGCTAAGCCACTAAGATAGATCAACAGGTTTTCACTGGTACATTTGAATCAATGGTTCTCATGTATTTGTTCATGTTTTCATGATACTTTACCCTAGGAGCTGACCTAGACAACTGGAAATCTGACAAAACAAAAATGTTACCCTGTCATCTGATAGGCTTTGCAACTAGTTTAAAAAATTACAAAATATCCTATTATTTATTTAGCTTAAATGAAAATAACTTCGGCAATGAAAAATCACATTTCTGATAACACTAATGTTTCTCTGTAGACGTTTAGCAGAATCCATATTTTACTAACACCTTTTTGGGTCTTATTACACATAGTACATTTAGAATTTAAATTTTTGTCAAGTATCATTGCTTTTAGTCATTTTATGTATGTAATCTTCATAATGTTATTACAATACCACCAAAATCTAGATTAATCTAGATACATTTCCTAATCCCGTTAGATATTTTTATATGGATGTTGGCCCTAGTACTTAGAAGTTTGAATGTGTGACAAGATCAGAAAACATTAGAAGATACCATTCATTCACATTTGTTGTATTCATTTTGTTACTTGTGTGAGTTATCCCCAGAAATCAATAGTGGATGACCTTTTAAATGTTTGCCAGCTGGAGTCTTAACTAGATAAGCAATCTGTTTTTGTTGAATCAGTCAGGGATTAAGAAAAAAATAGACTGTGATATACTGTATTGATTATGTCTTAAATATTATCAATTTGGGTTGGATTAAGTTTGAAATATTATTTTCATTTGTTTTATTGACTTGCTCTATTTCAATTTGGTGACATTATCTCCAGTTAGTGAAACATTTAATAGGGTTTTAATAAATATATATTTTTTATTTAAAGCTGATGAGCTATCCTTGTTACCTTTTAAAACTTTTGATAGTGACATAGATGTATACATTTGGGGAGGGGGTGCATACTTTTGGTAGTGACAGATGTATAAATGGAGGAGTGCATACTTTTGGTAGTGACATAGATGTATACATTGGGGGTGCATACTTTTGGTAGTGACAGATGTATAAATGGAGGAGTGCATACTTTGGTAGTGACATAGATGTATACATTGGGGGAGGGGGTGCATACTTTTGGTGGTGACAGATGTATAAATGGAGGAGTGCATACTTTTGGTAGTTACAAAGATGTATACATTGGGGGTGCATACTTTTGGTAGTGACAGATGTATAAATGGAGGAGTGCATACTTTTGGTAGTGACATAGATGTATACATTGGGGGTGCATACTTTTGGTAGTGACAGATGTATAAATAGGAGTGGGGTGGGATGCAGACTTTTGGTAATGACAGATTATAAATAGGAGTGGGGTGGGATGCAGACTTTTGGTAATGACAGATTATAAATAGGAGTGGGGTGGGATGCAGACTTTTGGTAATGACAGATTATAAATGGAGGCAGCAGTGGTGTGCACACTGTTGGACTGCTGATGTTGTTCTCCATTGCTTTAACTGCTGGATTTTGTGCCATGCTTATCTAGCTGCTTACAGTTTTTTCTCTACATTGGGGGTTGGATTTAGCGCTGTTTAGTTAGTTAGCTAAAATGTACACACAGCAGCATCTGTTTATTAGTATTCTTCGTTAACACAATCACTATTGTGTGTCAACATGTTATACGTGTCAACATAATATGCGCCATATACTTGACTCTGACTGCAGCCTGCTTTTTACTTTGTTTACTTCTGGAGCCTTTGTCCATCCAAGAACAAACTGAAATGCAGCAGGTTTTTTTTTTTAATTTTGATCGAGATGGGTTGTGTCCCCAGCTAATGAGCCTCATCTGCCCAGTGGTCTGAACTCGGAACTTCTAAGTTAGCAATCATAAACTCTCCCATCCGACCATGCCATCCCTAATATTTTTTTATTGATTTCGCTCACTTTTAACGGGCACATTCAAACTTCCTGTACCATCTCAAAATGTGCTTAGCTCAGCACTTTACTATTTCAGCCATCGAATCTCTATTAATTTAATATTCTGAGGTCATTTAGGCAAGCGCTGCTTTAAGGGACAGACAACAAGACCAAGTTGAATGAGTTGTTACAAACATGTACATAATGTAAGTGTTATTTGGAGCTTGTCGAACTGTCAAGATTGCCTGGTTATTTAGCTTTACTTTCTATCTAGTTAATGGAGGACGGTGCCAGCCTTTAGATACTCTGGTTTCCGACAGGCTTTTTCTTTCACCTGGTTTGATGGACAGTTTGGTTGGGGCGGGGGTGGAGGTCTCGTACCGAACGCGTAAAATTTTCGGGCCAACAAGTCATCGTGGTGCCACTAAACAACGCCACCCCTACAATTAACTGCGAGTTGAAGTCTTCTACAACCACTAAACAACGCCACCCCTACAATTAACTGCGAGTTGAAGTCTTCTACAACCACTAAACAACGCCACCCCTACAATTAACTGCGAGTTGAAGTCTTCTTCAACCACTAAACAACGCCACCCCTACAATTAACTGCGAGTTGAAGTCTTCTACAACCACTAAACAACGCCACCGCTACAATTAACTGCGAGTTGACGTCTTATACAACCTCTAAACAACGCCACCCCTACAATTAACTGCTAGTTGAAGTCTTATACAACCTCTAAACAACGCCACCCCTACAATTAACTGCGAGTTGTTCTACAACCTCTAAACAACGCCACCCCTACAATTAACTGCGAGTTGAAGTCTTATACAACCTCTAAACAACGCCACTCTACAATTAACTGCGAGTTGTTCTACAACCTCTAAACAACGCCACCCCTACAATTAACTGCGAGTTGAAGTCTTATACAACCTCTAAACAACGCCACCCCTACAATTAACTGCGAGTTGATGTCTTCTACAACCTCTAAACAACGCCACCCCTACAATTAACTGCGAGTTGAAGTCTTATACAACCTCTAAACAACGCCACCCCTACAATTAACTGCGAGTTGATGTCTTCTACAACCTCTAAACAACGCCACCCCTACAATTAACTGCGAGTTTTCTACAACCACTAAACAACGCCACCCCTACAATTAACTGCGAGTTTTCTACAACCTCTAAACAACGCCACCCCTACAATTAACTGCGAGTTTTCTACAACCACTAAACAACGCCACCCCTACAATTAACTGCGAGTTTTCTACAACCACTAAACAACGCCACCCCTACAATTAACTGCGAGTTTTCTACAACCTCTAAA